AAGAACTATATTCATCTAGTTATGGACCTTTGCCTGATTTGTCTTATTACGATCCGATTGCGGTGGTTGTTGAAACACCGAGGGTTAATAAAGTCGAAGTTGTAAAGAGTAAGGACGAGTCTCAGTTGTTATTTCCGCCAAAGCTGAGGAACTGCCACAACTTTCAAATGAACCCAGACATAGTACCCCAGTCAACCTGGATCTGAGCCCTCTTGGAGAACGGGACTAGTCTACAGGGAGCACATTCAAGTTCCCTTTGCAAAAAAAAAAAATAAAATTAAAAAAAGGTGAAGGATACAAATGAAAGCCTTCGCGAATACATTGATACAAAAAAAAAAAAAAAAAAAAAAGGCCAAGGATACAAATAAAAGCCTTCGCAAATACATGAATGCAAATGTATACTAGGGAGCAACAAGTATGGGTCTCTACAAGCACCTAAGATTGATCTGCAATGGGATATCCATGGGGCAGGATGAATAAAATCAGTATCTAAAACAAAAATCAAATTGATTAAAATTGTGATTTACATGTTTTAAAAACAGATTTTAAAATTTAAATAGTGAAAAATCTGATTTTTTTTAAAAAAATGTTATTTAAATCAAATTCACCCTGCCATCAGGAGTGTCTGACTGAAGTTCTTCCTGGGATCAGGATGTTATGCAGTCATGGAACAGGGAGTGACGTCTGTGGATACATGCCATAGTGTTGCATTTAAGTTGATTTATGTGAAGCACAATCATAGGTGTATTTCTACAAAAATCACTGCCAGTGGATTCAGTGGAGTTCTCCATTAACATGGTGGTTTATCCTACATCTGGACAAACAGCTGTTTCCAATTCTGAGCCTGATATTAATTTTAATTCTCAGTCTACCTGTAAGCATCTAATCAAAGCAAAAATAGGGAGGAGAATCTATTGTTTTATAATCCTAATTACAGGTGTAAAGGTGATAATGGGGGGGGAGAGACACTAAGGAATTGATCATCTGCATTCATTTTTATTCTTTCAAAATTATTTTAAAATGCACTTTCCATTCTATTCTTGGTGTTGCTCTCATGTGCCCCCCTGTTGGACTGAGAGATGTCCCTTTGGTTGCTATGGAAATCTCTGTTATTGACGTGGTTTGCCAGCCAGTGGCTCTTGGTAATGCTTTAGGGCCTGCGGGGATAGAGAGTGAAAATCAATTGGATGTGTGGATCAAATGTAGGCTCTTACCAAAGATTCACACTCTTCCTCCACCCTGGACTACAGAATGTTTTGGACCTGACCATAGACACCCTACAATTTTTCTTAAAAGATAGTTTCTGTGTTTCAAGAGCCTGAGACGGATCAGGAATTACAAGCTCTGCCCATTTTGAGGGAAGACTAAAGATATATAACCTTTCATAGATGCTGGGAAGGCGTTAGCCATAGAATTAAACATGTTCCCTCAAAACTGGTTAGAGAACTGTGGGCTTCCAGTGTTTCCAGTTGTAGCCCATACCAGAATCTGTTGGATATGCTGGCTGGGTCTTCTTGGAGTTGCTTCAAAACATCTGGAAAGTGAAAATTTCCTTACCATTGCTCTAAATCTATTCTAATCTAATCTAAATCTAATCTGAATCTAATCTAAATCTATTTTGGGGTCCTCCATCTGTAAGACTGTATGAACTACAAGGAAAACAGCCCGCCTCCTCAACCAACTGATGGGTAATCCACCTTGGGTAGATTTAGAATCAACACAGAGCGAAGGAAAAGGTGAGAATGAAGCATACATGCCTAAATGCCTGCCAAGGGCTGTTTCCTCACCGAAACAGAAGACCACGGAGAGGGGAGCACAGATTTGCATAACATTTCAATGTGCTAATTTAGAACTTGTAAGCGGGTTCAGGATTCCTTTTAGGCTGTTCTTCAGGCAATTCAAAAGACCTCGGAGTTATTAATAAAAGAATCTTTATTTACACAACTGGTGTTTTCATCTTTGTTTAACTCTAAAGAACTATGTAACGATAATTGTGGGGGTGAACATTCCCAATACCACATGAGAGACTTTGTTGTGAATGTCTTTTAATGGCAGTTTTTTGCCGCTTTCTCTTGCTCTGTTGGTAATCTCAGGCATCCATTGCGAACTGCATACAGAGTCCCGCAGCAAGGGTGGTGGGCCCATTCTCCCTCTGCTGGCTTCCCTTTCTCCATGGCTGGATCTGGATGGTGTACCATCTGTTCTGGACCCCTGCCCTTGGGATACACCAGAACTGTCCATTCTTCGGGACTCAGACCTGGTATTATCGGTCTTGTTTTCTCCTTACTTAACTTCTCATTGTCTTCTTCATCAATCTTGGCCGCGGCTGTCTTTCTCGGTACTGACAATACCTGGATGCCTTTATCAAGTTTCTCTCTCATGGTTTCCTTAATTACTGTCACTTTCTCTGTCTCTTTACTTTCACCCCTCTCTTCGGTGGTCAAGAATACGTCAATCATCTCCCTCACAGCTCCTAACAGTTCTCCCTCAGCCATTTCTAACCGAACTAACTGTCCTTCATCCTCGCGACTTTCACTGTCCCGCACCAACCCTATCTCTTCCGCGTAAACCTCTTTCTTCTCTCCAGCGCGTGCCTTTGCCTCTTGTTCTGTCTCTCGCTGTATCCCTTGTCCTTCTCCTATTTCCCATTCTGCCTCCGGTGTTTCCCTTGCTTTCTCTACTTTAGATGTTTGAGGGGACGGCTCACTCTCTGATTTTACCTCACAGAACTATAGATGCATATTTAGAAAACTATTGTAATATAAATAGAAATGCAGGGAAGTATCGTAGCATTGTGGGGAGCCTATGAGCAGAGGACCTGCGTACTTCTCAGTTAATGTCCAGTTGCTCAGTGTAAGCTACTTCACGCTTCCAACTCCTGGGATTTGGGTTTTTAAAATCTTAAAGCAGAATAGACAGTGCTTCAAGTAGAGTAGGGGAAGAGACTTCAGGTTCTCTGGACCTTTTGGGCTATAATTCCCACAATGTCATTGGGCCATGCCAGTTGAGGCACATGGGACGTATTTTCCCCACTGATGGAATATAGGATTCATTAAAAAAAGAGAGGTCTATCTCCTACAAAAGCTCAAAAGGCCAAACTAGGCTAGGACAGCATGGCATGCATAACAATTGTGACATGATATATCTTAAGATATGAGTTGTGATCCAAGAAGTAAATCTGTTAGTTTTACGGAGGGCATAACACTTCTATTTTTATATTTCATTATTCTTTTTTGGATTTTAAAAAAACTATCCACAATTTCCTGGTTTTACAAGATATTCCCTCTTCTCCCCATTCCATTAAATTAGATCTGAGTATCTAGTGGCTCAGTGTTTGTGATTATCAGTCAGTTTATCATAATTAAAGACTATGCATTAAACTGTGTAACACATTTGATATGTTGATATTTTGTCCTTAAATATACATGAGATTGGATCAAAACTTCATTAGGCTTAGAGAAGATCCACTGAAACCAAGGGGAAAGATTGTCAGTCATTATTAACAAATCCCATTATTTTAGTGGTTCTAGTGCAAGCTTTGTCTGGTCTCATATGTATGATACCTATTGTGTATTTAGGAGGGGCAAGAGGGAGGACCAAAGATTTTCAGTTGCAGGTTATTTTTTTCATGGCCCTAGTTGATTTTATTGCAGTGATCGTGCTGGTTGTTTATGTTTTACTGCCATGGGTGGGTACGTACTGTTTGATTAAAAAATGATAACATATCTAAAGTAAGTTAGGAACAGGAGGAGAATGTTTGCTGATTGCTGCTTGGCAGAGTTCCAGTTGCACCTGGTTTATTGTTCCTTATTCTTTCCTTGCCTCATTCTGCAGCGAGTCCAGATGACAAAATCTAATCTGCAAGGTTTGGTGTGTGAGGCTAGCTTTCTGTATTCTTATAGCTAGTTGGAGTCCTTCTTCACATACATGCAATTATATAAGTGAGAAGACATATTTGGACTGCCACTAATTATATTCTTGACCCCTTCGTTCCAGAATGTATTCTCCAGAGTATTAGAATTTTCAATTATGCTACCCGGTGCTTGCCTTTTTTGTTTTGTTTTGTTTTGCTCTGAGGGTTCTGCTTTTGCTAATCCGTTGAGCAATTAGTCCTGTAAATTTTGTGGGGCTGAGGGATTAATTAGCAAACAGTTTGATCTCATTAATAATAGATGGAGTAGAGGTTTAGCCACACTCACCGCTGCTGCCACCTACCATGCAATTTACGACAACTAGATCTTGCACACAATACATCCACCATCAAGCTGGCCCTACCATTGCGCAAAGCGAAGCAGATGCCTCAGTTAGCCAATGGTAAGGGCCACAGTCATCAAAGCTACCATCATGTCATCGAAGTGACCAACATGAATCTAACCCAACTCTGGGAGGCAGTGGAAGACAGGAGGGCCTGGCATGCTCTGGTCCATGGGGTCACAAAGAGTCGGACACGACTTAACGACTAAACAACAACAACAAGGGCCAGAGGGCATGGCAAAGTGAGAGAGGACAGAATTGGCCATACATGCAGCTGTGCCCTTTATGTAGACTGTCATATTTTGTGTTGAAGTGCCATTTCATACTTCTGTACAAGAAACAGAGAGATGTGTTGGTTCATATTTTGCCTCAAATTGTCTTAGGCCATCTCTAATACCTCAAATTTCCAGGATGAGACCTTGACCAAGGAAAACCCAAAAGCAGGAGTGTGTGAGTGAGAGAAAAGATTTGGAAATATGCTGTGATATTAACCCATGTGCTGTTCAGTATTTTGAAATGATAAATATCCAAAGTTCACTAAAAGAGATTTGAATTATTTCCATATGTGTTGAAGGGGCAAGAGAGAATATGTGATTTGTGGGGTTTTTTTTTGAGACAGATGAGGTGGAGCACAGAATACAGTTGGTTGTAATCACTGGATTTGTCAGTCAGGATACTGCTTCTTCAACTGAAGGGTGAGGCTCTGTCTCCTCTCTCACATACTGTACTTTTGTGTCCTACACCAGTGGTTGCCAACTCGGAGTCCTCAGATGTTCCTGGACTAAAACTCCCAGAAGTCTTCACCATTAGCTGTGCTGGTCGGGAGTTGTGGAGTTGCAGGACTGGCCACATGGCAATCACATCTCTGCCCTCTAAGAGGGGGAATGGCCAAGTGACTCAGGGTCATCTGCTGCCTGAGGTAACTGTCTAATGGTAAAACTTGCCTCTGCATAGGACGCCATATAGAAAATTCTTTGGGTCAAAAAAGGAAATAGAAAATATATATTGTGCAATCGTATGTGTGTCTACACCGAAATACATTCCACTATGTGCACTGGGACTGACTGCTGGGTGAATGTATATGATAACTGAGGCCTTAGTTAAATAATTAACCTGTGATTGTCACTTTCTATTGGTTTCCATTTCCTCCTTGCCAGGGCTCAGTTAATGATCTGTGAGAGAGGAGCAAGGGTGCACTTTTGCTAAAGCAGAGTAGGCCTAGACTTCATCACTTTCTTAAATGGAGGACCTCTGGGCCACAGCAGCACCATGTAACAGCAGAACCTCTGTCTCCCCATCCTTCTATTCTGTGTCCCCTTCTCATCTGGTTTCTATAGTGACTGGAACAGCTAGGAGCTGATTAACAATGAGCTTCCTGACTGTCACTGGGAGCCAAGGCTGCTCACTCTTATTCCTTTCATTCCCCATGACAGACAATGTGAGCTAAGCTGCTTCTTGCTGTCCTCCACCCAACATCCAAGACATGGGACTTCTTGGGTCTAAGAGCTCTTTTGTGGCTTTCCACCTGGGCCTGATTGTCGGCTTCCTCAGCACCTTCTACCTCGTGGGCAACCTGTCGTGGGAAGGGTCTGCACGCCCTAGTACCCAGCTGCCACAAGGCTCCAAGGATCCTGAATGGATTGTTGACAGATCAGCTCTCATCAGCGTGGCACAGCCACATCTGGAAGGTAAAGGCTGGAGAGGACATCAAGATGCCATAGAGCAGGGGAGGGGCCCTCCAGGTGGTTACTGGGTGGCAGCTCCCATCAGCAGTGGCCTGTATAGGCAATGGCGAGGGATGATGGAAGTTGCAGTGTAATGATGTCAGGAGGGCCACAATTTCCCCAGCTCTAAAACACAAAACATAAACTTTGGATAGAAACAGATCAGCTGTACAAATAAGATGAAATTTCAGAGTGGGTGGTGTAGGGCTGCTTGCGCATATCTAAGTTTCTGCCTAATAAAGTGCATGATGCAAATCTCCTGTTTAGATGCCTTACGTTCCATTGGGTCAACTAATGATGTGTGAATTGACATGACTTCTAGACACTATCAGCTGATCTATCAATTGCTGAACACAGAATTAATCCATATTGGAACGGTGGCTGCAGGTCGAAAAGTCTGTAGGTTGAGGCTCCATTGACCTACAATGCATTGAAAACCGATTAATCCGTAACCGGCCGTTTTTGTTCCATTTTGGTTTTTTTCCCGGTCTGTAGGTCGATTCTCCGGCTGCAAGTCAAACCTAAATTTTGCAGCCAGAGAAGTCTGTAACTCGAAAAGTCTGTAAGTGGAGCCGTCTGTAAGTCGAGGGTCCATTGTATATGGCTTCACATTGTAGATGCAGATGGAATGTTTGGACCCTTGTCTCTCAATGTAGCATCCATTCTGGCAGTTCCACGTGACAGATAGACCTACATGTAGGAGAACGACCTCTGTTGGAAAGCTTTGAGAGTGAGGTAGGTCGCGCTGCACCCAAGCTTCCTGTCCCTGCCCCAGTAATAGCTGGGAGCTCTCTTTCTGGACAGGAAACTAGGTCTAGCTAAGCCTCAGAGCCTTACAAATTAGTCCTTACACTCAGGTGAGCCACATTTAGGTGTCTAGGATTTATAGTCCAAAAAGTCCAAATATTCGTCTTTACTGCCTATCACACATTGCTTCTTATGTAACAATGAGTACCAACACCATTGCTTTTTAAAAGTAATTTAACAACCGTTAACATTATGACACTGTTAAATTTATCAAGTCATGTTTACATTTCAAAAATGTTGCTTTGGCAGGGGCTTAATTGTCAATTCCTTTGCATTCTAAATTAACGCTTTAAAATTAAAAGGGAAAATGGCATGTTGCTAGTGAGTTATATAACTATAAATACAAGAAGAAACACATGATTCACAAGTGCAGATTTAACCCATTAGTGTGAATTCACAGAGGACCACTCGAAGAACCAGAGTTACAGGTAAGTAACCTTTCTTTTTGGTGAGCACAAGCCACAGGCTCTAAAGCTGGAAAGCCTCTGTTGGAAAAGAGTAAATCTGTGGCCATTTGTTCCACAGGTGAGGAGAGCAGTGTGGCGCTTGAGCTGTATGACAAGGTGCGGATCCTGTGCTGGGTGATGACAGGCCCCAAAAACTTGGAGACAAAGGCTCGCCACGTCAAGGCCACTTGGTCTCGTCACTGCAATGTGGTCCTTTTCATGAGCTCCGTGAAAGATGATGACTTCCCGACCGTAGGGTTGGAGACCAAGGAAGGCCGGGACCAGCTGTACTGGAAAACCATTCGGGCTTTCCATTATGTACACAAGCACCACTTTGAACAGGCCGACTGGTTTCTCAAAGCTGACGACGACACCTTTGTAGTGGTCGACAACCTCCGGTGGCTGCTCTCCAACTACACCCCCGACCGCCCCATCTATTTTGGGAAGCGCTTCCGCCCCTTTGCCAAACAAGGCTACATGAGCGGAGGCGCTGGCTACGTTCTCAGCAAAGAGGCCCTGCAGCGCTTCGTGGCTGGCTTTGAGACCAAAGTGTGCAGTCACACAACCTCCGTGGAGGACCTTGCTTTGGGCCAGTGCATGGAGAAAATGGGCGTAGAAGCTGGGGACTCCCGGGACACAGAGGGGAGGGAGACCTTCCACCCTTTTGTGCCCGAATCACACCTAACAGAGAAGTTCTCGAAAAGCTTCTGGTACTGGAACTATTGCTATTACCCAATTGTGGAGGTATGTGATCTTATTTTGCATCGAGGGTTCTTCCAGACGGATGCAGGCAGGGTCTCCAGGATTGCCCGTTACTTGCTACCTGGAGGAATGCTGGGGATTGACCCTTGTTGAAAACGGGAAGTCTGTAATGTGAGTGAGCAAGAATGATCAAAACTTTGCACATCCCCTATGTTCACTGTAATCAATTATAGCAAGTTACAGGGATGTTGAATCCGAAACTTTGGTATCAAGTCCCGAACCCAAAGCCCTAAATCCTTATTAAAAACAAGCTTTTCCCCCAGAAAAAAAGGGAGGGCTGAGTGGGTTCTCAGTCGTGCATCGTGTCCGATCCGTTGGGAAAACAACCCAAGTTGTGTCTGAGTCAAGTTACCGGTGGGACCTAAGTCCAACTTGACAAGTCCTGTGACTCAAGTTCCAATCCCTAGTAATTTATAATGTTGATTAAGTAGCACTTAAGGCAGAACTGCCGACATTTAATATTCACAGTCTTCCTGTAAAACATTTCTCTCCTGATCTGGATATAAATATAAACTGAGACAAACTCCAGAAGTGAGACAGAAGCTCATTTCCAAAACATTCTATGATGGAATGGTCTTTACTTCAAGGCAGAGTATTTATTTTGGGTATATGGCTTCAGTGTATATCAACATGAACACTACATGGGATTTCAGCCAGTGAACTGCTTGCTAAAAGCTCTTCCTAAAAAGGCTGCCTGTTTCTATCAACCCTTTCAATACCATCCTTTCTCAGACTTCTTTTCAGCCTGAGGAAACAAGCTCAGACTTAACCAGCCGCTTCCTTAGCACAGTCCTGTTTGGCTTCTCTCAGATTCAAGCATTAAGCCAGTCTAAACTCTGTTGGGCATTTAAACTGCCATTCCCTGTCTTTTAAGTCTCCTTCCCTTTCCTGAATGATTATGGTTTTGCTGTGATGTAACTGAGCCATTCTCAACTTTTTTTTTTTGCCCACGGCCATAAACATACAGTAACGTGAAAGAAATGCGATGTAACTGAGCCATTCTCAACTTTTTTTGTGCCCACGGCCATAAATATACAGTAACGTGAAAGAAATGCAGGCCAGATCAGAACTGTATAAGTTGCATAATGAATCTTACAAGGTGGTTTGTGAAGGATTGGTTCCAGTCTGTGGCTCTCTTCAACTGTGCCAGGGCTGGTTGAAATTGACTGGTTGAAATGTCCTTAGGAACATGGTCATTTTGCTGTCTGCCAGACATGGCAAATTGTATATCTAAAGTACATGAACTATCATTGAGTCATGACGCTTCTGGTATAATCTTTGATCAGAGCTTAGGAACTATATTTTTTTATTGCAACTTCCAGAATACCTGAAGCATTCTAGAATCTTTAGCCTAAAAAAGAGTTTTGTTCAGCTCTAGTTTTGCCTTCAAAGGCCTGGCCTTTCCCTGTCACCATTACATCTGCTTTCTTCTGTATGAGTTGAGAGGTGATACTGCCCTCAAGGCAACTTTTCCTGAGGTTAGTCCTCTCCTTTCTGTTTTTGTGTGTTCACGCACTCACGCACGCACTCACGCACGCACGCACACACGCACACACACACACACACACACACACACACACACACACAAATTGAGGAGTGGGAAGCACATTTGAAGAGAAAGAGTCTTTGGTGAACCGTCTTTCTTCCTTTTCACATTGTTAATTTTATACACTACAGAAATTAGAAGAGAAGCTAAGAGCCATGTGGGAAGGAGCTTCTGTTGGGTCTCCTTGGCCAGTGGCATCACTGAAATCACTCCATTTAACCCAGGGGTTTCCATGTTTCTTGCCTGGTATAGAAAGAAGTAGAGCTGTAGCGTCTCCCGCACAGCAGGTATGTCATAGTTACAGTGGCCTCAGTTGTCATGACACCCATATGAAGAGCAGGACAGGGAGAGTCGATGTTAACCCTTTGCCACAGGCAGGGCCAGCCTGCGCCTTTTTACCACCTGAGGAGGAGAACCAGATGGTGTTCCCCTTCTCATTCCATACACAGAAGTTGACAGGACCGGCTGTTAAATCCCAGTTTCAACTGTGGTTGTGAAATGGTGTCCTCTGCTTACACCTGGAAACAACAAGCTTAGCTTAGGGGGTGAAGGGCAGGCCACACAACACTGCCCATGCATACAACTCTGTCTACTCATGCATTGTGATTGTATTCCATCCCTCGGATAGGGTGACTGCCTCACTAGCTAGTGATAGAGCCAGCTCTCTTCAGGAGCACAATGGCCAGTGGCAGCAAAGTAGGATCACTTGCACACTTTTGTGGGCTCAAGCTACAAAAATCCAAGAGGGATTCGGCCACCAATACTGGACCTTCAGCCCTACATCAATTCAAATGTAGTTGCTGTTATTAAGAGCTGTGGGACAAAGCTGAATGCTTAGGCACCGGTAGCCTTTCAGGTGTGAATGGGTTACAGGTACGGTCATTCTGGAGCCATGTTCTCTGGGGCTCAGGGGAACTGGAGCTGAGCAAACACCTGGGGGGGGGCATAGTGTAAATTGGAGTGTCAGGATTTGGAAAAATACATTCCTTATATTCTTTATTTGTTGTTTGATGGAGACTGACCACTGAGTTAGAACCAAAATGACACCAATTACAGAAACTGGAGCAAAATGGTGAAGATAAAGAACCCCCTTTTTTTCAGAGATGAGATGTCACCCAAACCTGTTCTGCCCCACCTGTCATTTTTTGATATCTCGACATTATATAAGCACTTAAAGCTTGTTCTCCAGTCAGGGTTCCCTGGTCCTATCGATTAAAAGATTACTGCCCCTTGTCCTACCTTTTCGAGGAGTGTGCACGTGCGTGCGTGCGTATGCGCATACTAAAAACGTTAATAATTAAAGAGTGTGCCTACACTGTGTGGTTATAGAAGTTCCATACTGTTTTAACTGTCTTGGCTCCATCCTCTAAAATCCTGGGATTTGCAGTGTGGTGTGGCATGGCGAGGGACTTTGAAATTTCAGTGGTCGTGTTCTAAGACTCCCTCACCAAACTACAAATCCCAGGATTCCATAGGACGGAGCCATGGCAGTTGCAAGGGGCCTCAAGCTGCTCTAACTGCGCAGTGCAGATACAGAGTCACTGTCCTCCATGTTTCTGCTAGGCTGGGGCTTGTTACTCTGTTAGGCAGAGGCAGATGGCTGCCTCAGGCAGCCAGTACAGTGGGGGCAGCAGGAGAGGGTTGGAGGCCAAACTTGTGCGCACCACTCAGCTAGCCTTTGCTCCTTGGCTGAAGCCAGCCTGCTGCCTGTGGGTGTGCCTGGAGGGAGCAGTCTCATCATTGCTAGGACTGCCGGTCCAGTCAGCTTCTCTACATTGCCTCGAATGCGTAGAGATGCCATGTTGTCCTTCACTTCAGGCAGCAAAATGAGCCCGCCCTCTTCAACCCAGTCTCTCTTTGGCATTGGGCAAAGTGAAGTCTGCCTCAGGCTGCAGAAACTGGGTGGTGGCATCAAGGTGTTAGAGGAGGGGGCTCTTCACCATGCGATGTGCTCTCCACCCTATGAGGGAGCTTGCTGTGGCGACAAGAAGTGCCCTATTGTCTGTGCAGAAATGCCCAAGACGCTGCAGAAACTGGGTGGTGGCATCAAGGTGTTAGAGGAAGGGGCTCTGCACCATGCGATGTGCCCTCGCAGGCAGCTTGCTGTGGTGACAAGAAGTGCCTTATTGTCTGTGCAGAAATGCCCAAGATAGCTGCCTTTTGTACATGGCATGGGAAGAAGGGATTATCTTGTCATTTGCCTCAGGTAGCAAAATTAACTTTTGCCAACCTGCTGGGTGGTGGCATCAAGGTGTTAGAGGAAGGGGCTCTGCACCATGCGATGTGCCCTCGCAGGCAGCTTGCTGTGGTGACAAGAAGTGCCTTATTGTCTGTGCAGAAATGCCCAAGATAGCTGCCTTTTGTACATGGCATGGGAAGAAGGGATTATCTTGTCATTTGCCTCAGGTAGCAAAATTAACTTTTGCCAACCTGAGGCTTTAGAAATCACACCTGACAGCTGGCAAAGGCCTCAGGCTCCATGGGATGCAAGTGGAAGCTTGCCTGAGTAAGCTAATAACCTGAGCTTCTTTACACAATTGCTCTGAGCCAAGTTTTATTTGGCTTCTGTGGGCCTTCCCGTTGGGCAGATCTTTGCATCAGCATCTTCCAGCTTGTCCTTTCACACACAGCAGCTGGGCTGGTGAGAATCAGGTTCTCAACGGTTGATGTCATTTTTATAGTGCAATTTGCATTCCCATTCTTCCCTAATTCAAATGTAATTGGAGGAACAATTTCCTAATTTTGTTGCATTTATACCCTACCCATCCTTTGGCACAGTGGTTCTCCAACTGGGGTCCCCAGATGTTCGTGGACTGCCTTCACCCCTTGCTGTGCTGGCCAGGATTTCTGGGAGCTGTAGTCCAAGAACATCTGGGGAGCCCAGTTTGAGAACCGTTGCTTTAGCGCATCCTTTTGTTACATTGAAGCCCCCTAGATAGCTCAATCAGTTATGCATTTATCTGTGGAGCCAGAGTTTGATTCCTCACTCCTGCAAGTAGATCCATCCCGTGTACCCTTGGGCAAGCTGTTGGAGTCTCAGGGCGCCCTCAGAAGAAGGGAATGGGAAACCAGGAAAAATTCACTACCTGGAAATTCTTGAAAAAGGTTGCCATAAATTAGAATGAACTTCACAGCACATTATTATTATTTAAACCTCCCTGTCCTTTAAGGTCCTATATACAGTATATTCCTGCTCCCCCTTTTTACCCTTGTAAAAGGTAGTTTAAACTTGACCCTGCAAAGTAGTTTAATGGTAGGATGAATGACTGCTTCATGTCGTGCTGAGGACAGGACTCCTGCATGCTTCAGAGGGAGAAGCCCTTTCTGGTGATGCAGAACAGTAGCCATGGGTGGGCATGTGTAGCGGTGTTTGGGTAGCATTCCTTGAGGCAAAACAGCATAAAGTAGCATCCCATGGCCAAGGGGTGGGGTGGGGGTGGGAATACCAAAAGGTACAATACCAAAATTGTATGGCTCTCTCTGAATATGCACACAAGGTTTCCCAGATGCTCTTCCCACGGCCGTTTTACACGTTAGGGTACGGTATTCTTCCACAAGGTTGTTTAGAGTGGCCAAATTGATCCAAGAGAGGACAAGGGACCTGGCATTTCCTTAGCTGCCTGGAAGAGGAAGTTTCAGGAGCTGGAGCTGGCATGGCGGGCTGCACCTGTTGATATCCTTTGTTCTACATTAGTGTGAAAGGTCAATAATTCTGCCTTCTTTTGTGTCTGGCCTCTCCCAGTTTGTTCCCTCATGGATCTTGTTTACGTTTTCCCCTCCACAAAGTGACAGCAATTGGGACTTTCTCTGTGATGGCAGCCACATGTGGTTCTCTGACGGATAAACTAGTAGAGTTAATAGCATTAACTGCTTTGTGTTGCTTCATACAGAAAAGTGGATCCCATGGGGCATGGGGGGAGCAAAGGCCCTCTTTTGTACAGTCACACATCACATAAACCGCATGGGATTAGAGTGTCAATGAAGAAGGGAGGAAAGGAGTAGCTTTCTTTGATCAAAAAAGGAGAAGAGAGCAGGAGGGATGTTTTGAGGGAAAAGTGCCAGAGAAGAGCTTGGCCTGAGGACTGGAGCTTAGATAGAGTCACCCAAGAGGATTAAACAATTAGAGTAATTGGTTCTCAGTATATGATGTGAGATGCTGTGGACAAGAGCCAGCAAGCCTGCTCTCTTCCAGGGGAAGTTTGGGTCCTGTGTGGCACGTTGTGGTTTTTCTTGAGCCTTTCCCCCCCTTTTTAACGATTTAATTATGATTTCCACTTTTTTCTCTAGCCGCCAGTATCCTACTTCTTCTTAACTCTTTTTGCAGTATGTAGCATGCCCTGGTTTAGTGCAAGATATTGGTTAACAGTTCAGGTGTTCTGGATGGGGAAGGAGAGACAAAAGGGGGAAAGTGACAAGATGGGGAAGAGGACGAGGAAAAAAAATGTGAAAAGGAAGAACTGAGGTAAGAAGAGCCAGTTTCTCCTTCTCTTGGGCTTCGGAAGTTGAAACAAAGAACTTGGCACAGGCCAGGCCATTCTGGAGCAACCTCTCGGAGAGGATTGTTCTTTAAATAAACACAGAATAGTGCTGGGGAGAGATTGAACAAATAGAACATTGTCCTGTTGCCACATGGAAATAAAAAGCCAGGCTCACCCACCAAAATAGACTGTCAAAAATTCCCCCATTCCTGGTGTTGACTGAGGCAGGGCGGATTCGAGCAAGAAAATGCCACAAGCATGTCCCTGGCATCCTTCACCACCCAACAGGCCAAAGACCAGGACGACCAAGGAGGTCACTCGCAACTTGGCTGCCCTTTCACAACAACAATCTGCCTGCTGCCTGAGGTCAGCGCCTCAGGCAGAGCAGGCGGAATGGTAAGACGGGCCTTTGTTTGCTTGGCCGTTCCCCTTTTTTTTTTAGCAGGTAATCAGGTGCGCGGTGACTGATGCGATGCATGTTGAGCATGGGAAGGGGTGGCACCTGTATCTCTAGAATCCCCATACTGCTGGGGGGGGGGAGGTCAATTCCCCATTCTTGGAAGCCTCCCCTTGAAACCACTCCCGGGTGCTTATCTTTTCTTTGGAGTGGGCACTTCTAGGGTATTGTAGCTACTTGTGAGTTCTAGTGGTGGAAACACCATCCCCTGAATTCACAACAGATTGCCCAGCTCTGATGTAGGCCTTTTGCTACAAAGCCGTGGGAGCAGAGTCCTTACTTCCCACATGTATATATCTATGGTAGTGTAGATCCTTCCAACTTCCAATATGCCGTTGATTTCATCTGCCTTTGTTAAAGGGGCTGGTTTCGCTTTGGTGCAGGCTAATGCAAAACAAGCCCTTATACTGTGTACACAATGCATTTGACAAGTTTATTTGGCTTGCAAAACTTCAGTGCCTCCCTTCAGAGCTGGGTTTTGCTGTAAGGATGGACAGTCCAGCCAGTCCTTCTCTGATTCTGTTCTCACCGCACTGCAGCCAGTATCCCCAGCAACATAAATACAGCTGGGGGTGGGGTGGGGTCCTGCACTCATGGTCCCTCTCTTCACACTCACAGATGCTGGAAGGAATGCTTGTCACATCCCTTTGCCTTAATATGTAGGATTACTGCTTTAGCCAGTAATGGGATGAAGGCTCCCTATGACATAAACAAATGGCATGTGACAGCATAGAAAAGGTTCCGCCACCTGAGATGGATGAGTGCCAAGGATGGAGGCAGCTCTCAAAGTGCTGTCCTCAGGATACTGGGCTTGATCCTGCAGGGTGGCTTGTTGAAGCCCACCAGACCAGAGGAGGTGTGTCGGAGCTGTAGCCGTTCAGACTGTGGTTTCCTTGCTGGGTTGCTTAAACCCAGAAGCCCAGAACAAAGGGGGATTTCCCCTCCCTCCTCCTCCCAGTCTGTGTAAGTAAAGAAAAAAATGTTTTTAACTTATATTTCATACTTCATCTCTTCAATTTCAATACTGCCCCTGGGAAAATGTAAGGAGATTATATGTGGCCCTAAAATTTGTTGGAGACCTAGAAACTCACTTAGCCACCTCTCCTCTTAATGATTGCCATTGTAAGACACTCAAGACATCTTAAAATTTCAGCAGATGTTGACTCTGGTTTCAGTGACTTTTTTCCAACCACCTGGGACAAAGACATCTCAGGTTGTTTTTGCCCCCCCTCCAATGAAGCTTTTAGGAAACTCAGTCCTGTGCCTAGGGTTATTTTCTGTGCCCCTTCACAATCTTGTGATACAAACCGCCTTGCTTTAAGACTATAAAGACTAAGTTTGGAAAGTTATGGGCAAAAATACCTGGGGAGATGTTAGGAGCCCCAGGGATCTGTACTTTTTATTTGGTGGATCGTTACTGTCTTTGCTCAGTGGCTTAGGGAGCCAGAGGTTGGGAGTTCGATTCCCCACTGGGCCTTCTTGACAGGGCTAGACTCAGTGGTCCATGGGGTCCCTTCCAGTTGTAATAACATGGGGTCCCTTCCAGCTCTGCAGTTGTAATAATATTCTAACATTTCCTTCTTTCACTCCTTCTACAACCTATCTTCCTGCGATATTTATCTTTCTTGTCCTGATACTGCACTGAATAGCGTTAAACCTTTCACCGAAGTTTCCTAGGTAGCGCTACCTAATCCTAGAATTCTAGTGACCATGGAGACCTAGCCTTGGTGAGCCTTTCACTGACCATTAAGATGTCAAGACGGCTTCCGCTTCTTCTCTGTGGTTGTTACTTCTGCTTTCTGTCTGCTCCTAAAAAATGGCTGGATATTTATATACCTTTCGGCAGCTGCCCCCAGACTATGCAATGCCCTCCCGACTGAGATTCGTCTGGCGCCGACGTTAATGATATCTCGGCGCCAGGTCAAAACCTTCCTGTTCCAGAAGGCTTTTTAATTGAAATAACATCAACTGTGGGTCCTGGTGGCAATTTTTAGAGTATGTATTTTAATTGTATTTTAATCATTTTATCTTTTTAATTGTATTTTAATTGTTTTAAGCCGCCCAGAGACTTTTGAGTAGTGTGGGTGGCATATAAGTTAAATAAATAAATAAATAAATAAATAAATAAATAAATAAATAAATAAATAAATAAGGAAGGAAGGAAAGAAGGAAGGAAGGAAGGAAGGAAGGAAGGAAAAGAAAAAGAAAGAAAGAAAGAAAGAGAAAGTAGGGTGAGAGCAGTTGGGCCAGTGGCCTTGGTTCTGTTGTTCACCTTGATCTTCTTGTGCTCCTTAGGGTCCTCAGTGCTGCTCTGACTTGGCGGTCTCCTTCCACTATGTAAGCCCAGAGTTGATGTACACCTTGGAATACCTGACTTACCACGTCCGTGCCTACGGTTACCGCTACCGCTACCACCCACCTTTGCCGGAGAATGCTGCCCGCCTCCAGCCCCACCCAAGGGAAGACCAGCTGGAGAGGACCAATGACACCATCTGGCATATGGAAAAGAAGTTACAGTCATAGGCATGTGGCTCGTGACTCAAGGGAAAGAAAAGAAAAACAAAACAGCCCAGCCACCACCACTTGGGATGGCTTGTTAGCCACTCTCTCAGTGCTTCAGTAAGATGGGGTCTGGTGACTCTCAGTCTGCAGCCAGCTCTACAGGAGCTGAATAGGCCAGGTTAGGAGCCCAGCTTTCGCTCCCTCTACAACCTGTCCTTCATGTGCCCATTTGCCAAGTTGAGGGCATTACAATATTTTAAGGAAGCCACGGGCGATCATGCCTGGCCTGGTGCTGCTTTTTCCCCTCCACCCTAATTCTGTCTTTCACTTTTGGTCTTGCTGCCGACTGGAGAGTTACAAGCCTGGCACATGATGTGAGCTGTGAAAAAAACAAACACAAAAGCCAGCAAGAGTGGCTTTCTTACACGTGTGCTTTCCATATGGAGAGACAGTAGCCTCGATCCAAGGGGGTGGGGATTAAGTTGCCCAGGGCCTTTACTGGGGGATGCTTCCAGGAAAGTAAACATCATGTGCCACAAACTGCACGACTGTAAAACAGGCAATATTTGAAACAAAAATGGGAAGGCCCTGGTGGGAATAGTGGGTGGTATTGGTAATGAGGGAAAGTCCATTGATCTACCACTGCAGGGAGGAAAATGGGCACCCAGATTAATGGTACTCTTTCCTGTTGTGTTCGTTCCTCACAGCTGACTGTGGATCATAATTATAGGGCAAAGCATTTGGTGACCTCTCTATGGCAGGAGTTGCTGCTATTAATTAGATGCTTCACGTTAGGCCATCTTCCTTTCGCATAGAGTTCACTTACTTCCACCTAGAGCAGAGTGGTTGGAGGCAAGTGAACCCATGGGGAAAAAAGAAATCTCCCATTGTCTGTTCTACAAGATACGATGCCTATCAGTCTACTGGCTGGAACGTCCACAGCAGGAAGGTATGACTTGCCACTTTCCAGCTGTTATTGGAACTGTAGCTCTGATAATCTTTTACTACTGGCTACGCGGAGTAGGGTGGATGGAAGGCGAGGCTCAACAAATCTGCAAGGCCATGGATCTTTGGTTACTTGGTTGGGATTTGCCAGTGATAGGTAAATTGCCATCAACAAATCATGCTGTATGGTTGGTTTGACATTCAGTCGCCATTGCATTCCCCATAATGTCACCTGGAATGCCACAGGATCTAAATGCCTCCTTTTGACGATTGTGGCAAGCTCTTCTTCACTCTGCGCCTCCCCTTTCCCATCTCACATGCTAAGTAGGGCAGAGGTCAAGGTATTTCTTTCTGGAAGCCTTTCCCTCCCTTGTGTCCAGACCCTGGGACACCTAGTTTTGTCAGCACAATTTGAGTCCATAGTTTGGGTCTCGAGAGAGAGAGAGAGAGAGAAAGCTAGAAGGACGGACCGACATCTTGCAGAAGGCTTCAGATAGGATCCTGAGGAGGTTGAAGATTTGACCTGCTGCTTCAGACAAAGCCCAGTCTACCCAGGTCTCCATCTATATAAATGTTGATGGGACTGCACAACAGTAGAATAGCAGTTGGGAGGCGCCTGCTGTGCTAAGCTGTGCTTCACAGGCCTGGACCAGGATGTTCCGGTCTTGTGCCCATGAGATGTATTAGGAATCATAGGGCTGAATGGGTTTAGACTTTAAATTCAGGGACAACTGCAGTGTCTTTCTTTATTGCAGGAGTGTATTGGAATGTCCTCCTGCACCACAGAACCCTGCAAGACTGCAGAGTAGATGATCCATTTTCCCCCTGAAGAGACAAGAAGACAAAACGGGAGGGGGGGGAGCTGCCATGAATTCTGAGGATACTGATGCTATCGTACCCTAAAGGTGGTCATTAGGGGGCTGCAAAGAAGAGGGGTGGTTGATGTGTCACTCATTGCTGACTGAAGGAGAGAAGAACAAAGTTTAGACATTTTATGAGAGCAGGAAATATCACCCATCCTTTCTATCTTGCTGGGTAGGATAATGCTGGGTAATTTGGCAAACACACCCCAGCTTCCTGGCTGATGGGCATTTGATTCTCTTATACGCTCCCTCTAGTGGCTATGATAGATCCTTTATTGCTAGTGAGACCCTTCTGATCAAAGCTATCTGTTTCAGTGAGGAAGACATACAGCTTTAAGAATTATCCGCAACTCTCCTTTTTGGGATAGAATGGAAAAACAGCTGTATTGCCCAACTATTGACAGAACACATTAGGCCCTGTCAAATGGCCAATAATATTGCCTTTGTTTTAGACCAGTCCAAAATATATTGACAGAAAGTGCTGTCTGTTAGGCCAATAATATTGCCTTTGTTTTAGACCAAAATATATTAACAGAAAGTGCTGTCTGTTGTATAACAAAATCAAGGTGAGCTATAATGATGGCTTTTATTCTACTAAACTCAAAAATTATTGACAATGTGTGGTTGATAGAATTTGCCTCGAACTATATGGTGAAGAACTAAATGCCAATTATTCAGTCCTAACCTCTGCTTAAAGTACACTGTCTCTCCCACCCCTTTTCCCTTTCAAGAAATATAGTTTGGAGCTAGAGAAAGTCATGCATAATAGAGAAGACTCACTGAGTTCCATGGGATTTTAAAGAGTCATGACTAACGTGGAGATTAAATCCGGATCCAGTACCTTGTTGGCTGCCATCTAGAAAGGTTGTATCTAGGTCTTGTTGAAATAAATTGCAAACACTTGACAGCATTCCAGAAAATACTTCTCTTTTCAGTAAAACTATAAACTTGAAGGCACTGTGGGGTACCAAATGACTCAGCTCCCAGTTTGGCAGCATTTCACCCAATATATCCGTCTGAGGACTACCCCAGCCCTGATCTCTCTTCCTTTTAAAGACAAAAAAGGCAGGGCCTTGAACAGCTGGCCTTTCTCTTCACTGTGTGCACACTTGCCCTGATGCCTTGGAGAACTTTTAAAAATCTATTTAAGGTCCCTTTGGCTGTTTCCTTCAGTGGAGATACAGCTTCAAGGCAGCTCCTCACCTCTGTGCATGCAGAGCAGTCCCTTCCACTGAAGTGAATGGAAACTGCCACGTAAGAGTGTTGCTTGACCTTGTATTGGTATGTCATGTTTGATTTCAGAAGGTGCAAGGACAATAATTTTTAAACTTCGTTAGTTTTGCTAATTATCCAGTGGGTGTAACGGTGGCGGTTTTCAGTGTGTCCTGTTGAATGTCTCATTTTCTTTGAAACCGAATGATAACTTTAGATATGTATTGTAATTTTTTTAAAAAAAACTTGAATTTGTACAAAAAAAATAATTAAAAACAATGTGAGCTATGCTGTATGTTCCACTTTTTAGCATTCAACAACATTCAAGAAGATCAGATCACCAGGGGATTGGCTTGGCTCCAGATTTAAATGCATTTAATTGGCCTGGGGAGATTGGGCTTCCCCACAAGCACTTCCTCTCTCTACAAGTCCCTCTGGTCCTACAAAACGCCAAAGAGGGCTGGAGATCTCACTGGTACTGCAGAGGACCAGATATGAAAAACGTGAGTAGAGGCAGGTCCCATGAGTGATAAGGCTTCTACCTCACAGAATGCAGGCAGTTCCTCCAAGCATAACCTGAATGCGATAACATTTACTGTGTGGTTCAGAGTGGCAAAGATCCGTTTCATTTCCAAAATCTTACCAACACTTTGAAGCCATGCGCTACCGGTAAGTGCTGCCAATTGCGCCTGAGTACATTTGGCTAGGCCAGCAGGCTGTTCAAGATGTGACAGTTCCGTGGTTTCCTGGGTAACCTCTTAAGTGTCCTCCTTTAATGTTAAAATGCTGTGGGCTTTTCCTTATTTCAATTTTATTCTGTGATTTAATTTTCCCCCGAGGGGAGATACGATAGCACTTTTCAAATACTTGAAAGGTAGTCATACAGAGGAGGAACAGGATCTGTTGTTGATCATTGCAGGCCATGTAACAATGGGCTCAAGCTACAGGAAGCCAGATTTCGGTTGAGTTTCAGGAAAAACCTCTTAACTGTTAGAGCAGTACGACAATGGAACCAATGACCTCGGAAGGTTGGTGAGTGCTGGAGGCGTTCAAGAGAAATTTGGACAATCATCTGTCAGATATCCTTTGATTTGGATTCCTGCCTTATAGGCCCCTCCCAACTCCATTATTCTTATTATTCAGTATTGCAAACTGCTACACCCTTCAGCAAAAGGACAGATGGATACTGCAGTTATTTAAGACTGGGCTGGTTGTGGGAAGTAACAGTCATTTCCAGGAGGCCAAGCAGGACAGCTTTATACAACCTGCATCAATTGTTTGCTCATTTTGTTTTTAGGTTAGGAATGCCCAACATTGTTATGTGTGGTTTTGGAGAAAAACCATGGGCTGCTAACTTTGAGGATATGCAGGGCTGCCCTACAAAAAGCCTATACAGTATGTCAACTTTGAAGCCTTACTGAGTGTAATGAGCTTTATGGTGAGATAAAGATATTTGGGGCACCAAAATGTTCAGTATTTTTGCATATCAATGATGTCAAAGAGAGGTGTTAAAGCATGTGCCTAAACCTATCCCACTAAAATCCATGTAATTGTAACTGCTGTTTTGGAGGTACAAGAGATGTTCAAGGATTGTTTTGCCATAGCTATCCCCCCCCAAGTCATATTTAGACACTTTATCTACTTCACACTGGTTTTCTACCTGCTTTGAACCTGATGGGAAAATTATTATGGAATGGGCATCGTTGTTAATATGGTAAAAGAAGATTGCCTTTAAGGTTAGGGTGCTCTCACTAGTTTTGGGGTGGGGATTTTTATTTATTTATTTATCTGGCTTTAAAACCACAAAATAAGAACCACTTATTTTCCTTATTTTTTATTCTTTCTAGTGTTTTCAGGCTTTTCTTTGAAATGTTATCTCAGGAAGATAAACATCATTCAACAAAGATGACATCATAGGGTGAAAAATCAATACACAGAAAACAAATTCAACAAAGACGTTTTTATTTGGAATAGGTAAAGCATTCTACCTTGAGTGCAAGGGTGAGGAGGAGGAGGAGGGGCAGCAGAAATAAAGAAGAAAATGGCTGATACTGGGTACGGCCAGGACAAAATACAGGAGACACAAGGTCATGGTCTTGACTATGTTTATAGATGTTATTTGGTGTTATTTAAGAGATTTCATGGTTTTAAAGAAACTATCAAATCAGATCTTCTTTTCACCCTATGCATAAAAAAACCCTACCCTTCTTTCCTCTTGGTTTACAGATTTCAGAATTTAAGGAACACAAAGCAAAGAGAGGAGAAGAGAGCACAACAATTAAGACAACCTTAATCCATACACTCAGCTTTTTTGGGGGAGCAGGCAGGGAACCCAGAATACAATCATTGCTATTTTGGCTCCAAAAATATAAAATAGGTTGTTCCTTTTATTAGATCAACTGAGCTCTGTGTAACTCAAAAGCTTTCTTATGCTTACAGTCAGCCACAGTTGGTCCAATAAATGGTGCTGCTTCATCTGCCTTAAAAGAAAATTTAAAAAAATTGTTAAGAGCAGTCAAAGATGTTTCAGAGAGAGATATGAGGATGCTTTGGCTGTCGAGAGGGAACTGAACAGGGGAGAAATAGCTTAGCACCATGGTGTCTGCAGGAGGGCGAAGGTGGTACTTCCCAACCCACATTGCAGCTCTTCTAAAAGTCTGGCCCTGTCACCATAGACAACAGTGAAACACTTGTCTTTTTAAAAGTGTGAGGTAGCTTTAAAACCAGGGAAGTTGTAGGGTTGATCTCATGCCTCAATTCATTTTGAAGAGTGGGGGAAAGAACAAAAAAAACAAGAAGAGAAAGAGAAGATGGGACTGGGCTTGGTAGAATTCGGTTTGGGGAACAGAAGCAAAATAACAACAACAAAGATCAGATCAACTCGTACTTTCCAACGAAGGTTTTTATATCAATTGATGTTAAAAAATACAGATTTGTTTTACAATAATAGCACCATCTTTAGTATTATACACAGTAATCTTGCTTGTGATACACACCCAGGACGGGGGTGAGAGGGAGAACTGGCTACGGCCTGTATTTGGGGCATCAGCATCTTGGAAAGGAGGGCTCCATATGCATGTTATTTAGCTTTCTACCTCCAGCTGATCCAAGAAAGGCCTTACAGGAAGACAATAAATAAATAATTCCATTATTTGTTTTTCCTTTTTTTTAAAGAAAAAAAACCTTTTCTTGCTTCATGGTCTCCCCAAGTGATGGCGGCCTCAGAAAGAGAGTCCAAAATGTAAGCGTAGGGACGAGTGACATTTTAGAAAGGGAGAGAGGATTCTGTTTCAACTCTTCAGTGCAGAAAGTCCTATAAGTGATTGGGAAGTACTTGGGTCGGTTTTTGTATGGTATTGGACTGGTTTTCTTTTGCAAAAAAAATTAATTGCTTTGTTTTATTTTACAAGAAGCACACGGGACCAATGTCAACGCCAAATTCTTGATCAGCTCCCCCAATGTCCATAGGTGCAATATCAATGATGGGCAGGCGTGAGGTCTTCTGAGATCTGTATTCAATTATTGTCTTGCCCCATTTGCCATTGTGTTTCTGGAATGGAAAGAAAAGGACAATCTGTTATTTAAAGCATCGCTGCAAACCCAAGGTGCAATCAGTTGCTCTGATCGGGACAAGCGGCTGGAAAAGATCTGGAAGAAAGAGTTGGATCTGCAGGTATGGAGGCAACTCCACAGTCTGGACCGAAGCGCACAATGGGAGGTTCACCAGCCCTTGGGATTCATAGGATCATCGAACACAACCCGGTCCCAACAAGCAGCCTGGCCCCACTCTCTATGCCTGTTCAAAGATGCCAACTCCTCTCAGCCTCATTGCAGTCCTCTGTCTCTGCAGGAATGACCATGTCTCCAGCCGTGTATCTCTCTGATTTTAAATACCAATAACAGGTCTCCTTTGAGGAGACAGATCAGCGTGTATGCAACTCCTCCCATGGCAGATTTCAAGACTGAGGGAGGAGAATTCCTGCCTTTATGGCTTTGAGCATTTCTGTGCATCTGCATAGCTGGAGGAACAGTGGAACCACAGAACACAACAGAGAACAAGGCTTCCCTGAATGGTTTTTGTGTCCAGTTAGGTGGAACCTACAGCAGCCTCAGCAAGCCACCTTATTTTTTTCTGTCTACTTACCGTGCAGCCATCCTGCAAGGCACTGTATGTAAACCGGCTATTGCCCTCCGCTCTGATCTCCACGTCGTTGGATCCCTGTAGTAGGAGTGCTTTCTTAAGGTTGCCAGAGGCCTCATCCATGTAGGCAATGCTGTTTTTGCAGTGGTAGGTGAGGTTTTGCGAGCCTTCGGTTGACAGGAGTCGCAGGAAAGTCATCTGGATGTTGGCGGTGTTAGGAGCCAGGTTGTCATCTCCATAGCTAAACTGGAAAGGGACAAGCAGGTACTGAGCGATGCCTTTACAACAAAGGGCTTGGAAAACCAGGGAGGGTATCAAGCAAGGCTTGTAACCAATGAGACAAAAGGGAACCACAGAAGGAAGCATCTCTTACAAGAAAAGCTTAAAATTGAAGCTGCGATTTGGCTCCAATTTACAAAAAAGTGTACAAACTGCTCTGTCGGATCAGACCAAAACTTACCTAGACTAACATTGTCCTTATTTATGTAGTCATTACACTTGTACCCTAACTTGCTTCTACTGAACTGAAAGTTATGCACGTTTCTGTCCGCCACCCATATTATCCTCAACAGCCACATAGATCAGAAGGCGGCCCAGAGTCAAGGCTCAAGCTAGGTAGGGGTTTAAACCTGACCCTCCGCCTAGCCTAAGCCCAACGACTCTAACCACGAGTGGGGCTGCACTCTGAGAAGTCCTGATCATGACATCAACCTGATAGATTCGCCCTTAACTTAGTCATGAAAGGCATTCTGTGAGCTCTTGAACTGCCAACCGCACACACATTGGGGTGCACATCCGATGCTTCCTCCAAAGCAATCCTTATCTCAAGGACACCATCTGGGATAGGCTCACTTACGTGGAATCCTCCATTGATGGTCTCTCCAAACCAGACATGCTTCTTATCTTTGCTCTTGCTTGTCCACCAGTTCTTCCTGGGAATGCTGCTAGGCTTAGGATAGACACAGGACTCGCCAGTCTCCATATTGCAGAAAACCTTGATGGCGTCCAAAGTGCAGCCCTGGTTGGGGTCAATCCAATAGTCACCTGCAAAATTAAGAAAGCCCAAATGAGGGCGCTGCATGCTCTTCACACACTCATCCGTGTTACATATTGTATATGTACACCCATCCACTTCCATTCATTCATCCATGCACACGTTCTGCTCCTTTGCTTCTGTTTCTTGGCCACATTAATTATTTGGGGCAGGATCCCTTCTTATGCTCTACAAGGGCCATTGGAAAGAAACAACTCTGCTATCTAGGAGAACAGAATTTGTAAATACCAAAATGGGACCGTTTGGAAGAATATAATGTATGTTATGTTAAACACAAACTGAGATTTAAAATATAGTATATATTAATCTTGTTCTGGAAAGTAAGAGGCATGGGAATGTGATTCTTTTGAATTTAAAGCAGCTGCTAAAATATGATAGATAAAACATTTTCATTCTGCATTTCACCCTGTACTTGTTTATTATGTCATCTGGCAGGGGACAGTCCCCCTTCTTTTACATCAATAGTTCCCAACCTTGGGTAACTCTGGTGTGTTCTTTGGCTGCAATTCCCAGAAACCTTGGCCAACACAGCTGATGGTGAAGGTTTCCGGGTATTGCAGTCCAAAAACATCTGGGTCATCCAAGGCTGGGAACCGCTGTTCTAGCTTGTTCCTTTTCAACAAACTAGAGAGGAAAAGTCCAAACCAAACTCTGGATTATTTCTCAGGTGGGCTGGGAGGCAAAACTGTTCTAAAATTATGATGTGGTGATGATGATGATGATGATGAGAGAAGAGTAGTTTCATGCTGCCAAACAACATGATAAACCAACTGCAGAATTAAGCCCCCATGGTTTAACTGTTCTAATTTGTAATAAGAGTGGTCGGGCATCCTGCATCAGCATCTTGCCCGTCCATGAAAAAACAGGGCTTCTCCAGATCCCTGAAGCCCAATATATTTACAGAGTTATCTGCAGGGATTACCAAAGTCACTATCCTGACTTTGGTAATCCCTGAAGTCTGTGGATCAGGTCGAAGTACCCCACAATTTTAGATAGTGGGAATCAAAACAGCCTCTGCAGGGAGGACCATTTGCACATACCCTGAGCAGTGTAACACACTGTCTTCTTCAGATCAGCTCCTCTCTAAATCTGGAACTCTGTCTTACACAGAATTCATTCATTTTAGTTTCAAGAAAAACACAAAGATACATCTGTCTGTCTGTCTCTCTCTCTCAAATGCATTCAGCAAACCTCTGAAAAAAACACCATGCATGTCCCTGTTGGGCATTTGGGACCCCCAAGAGTACCACTATCATTCCCAAAGAAGCATAAAGTTCCTGGGCACTATGTGGCTCTGCCTCCAGGTGGAGAACAGGAAACCAGAACAGCAGCTGCAGGACGCAGAAATCTGTCTTTGACCCTGCTTGAGCTGATAGGGAGAAATGGAAATAACAGCCACCTACTTCACTAGGGAAAGAGGGAAAGCTATGGGAGGGGATAACTCAGTCTTGCTAGGGCAGCATGGCATCACTCTTGATAAAATATGCTAATTCCAGATGAATAGTTAATTTGGTGCTTCCATTTGCTTATTTTTTTGTCACCATGGCTCCCAATCAGCAGGTAAGATGCCCTTCATGAATTAGTTCATAAGCATGTTCTCCCTCGCAAATCTTCCATGCAATGTCACTATTACGTTGCTGCACAGAAAGCCAGTCCCCCCAGACCCGCGAACTGGACCAGCAGTAAGCCCTAGTAAACGTACCACTCTTCCATTCTGGGTGGCAGAGTTTCAGGTCACGGCAGGTACGAGCTGGGTTCTTCTTGCTGCCCTCGGGGCTTCGGATGCTTTCGATTTGATTGTTGAGGGACTTCAGGGTGGCATCGACCTCAACGTCATGCTGCCGGAGATTGCTGGAAGCCTGGTCGGCCCGCATGTAGCGCATAGGGTCAGGGCCTTTCTCCACTTGACCCAGACCAGCGAAGGCTGACATGTCAATACCAGGTCCAGGGGGGCCAGGAGGACCAGGGGGGCCAGGATTTCCAGGAGGACCCTGCAGGGTTACAGGAAAGGAGGCAGCCCTAAAACTCTTGCCATCGAACAAAAGGCCATTCATTCATTCTCTCAGCCCTGCTGTTTCAGCCAAACTCCCTCTTGTAACCACAATGCATTCTTTTCCTCTCTTCCATGGTGTTATAAAAGAGAGGAAGCAGTATTAGGATTGCTCATGGATAATCAGTTATTTACCACAAAGGCTGTAGCACAATTTGCACTGGCAGCCAGGAAGCTGTGCTCTTGTTTCCTTGAGGATCATAATGTTATATAATTGCCATCAGTATAATCAGTGAACCTGGATCTTTGTTTCAAATGATGCTATGACTGGACTGTTAATAAACCTCTCAATAAGCAACAACAACAACAATAATCTTAGAACTGCAGAGCTAGATGGGACCCTCTGGATTACTAAGTCCAGCCACTGGGGAATCAAACTCCCAGTCTCTGCCTCCACAACCAAAGGCCTAAACCACTGAGGTATCCAGCAGTTTAGGTAAAAGTAAAGGTTCCCCTTGACATTTAGTCTAGTTGTGTCTGACTCTAGTGCATGGTGCTCATCCCCATTTCCAAACCATAGAGCCAGCGTTTGTCCAAAGACAGTTTCCGTGGTCACGTGGCCAGCATGACTAGACATGGAACGCCATTACCTTCCCACTGAGGTGGTACCTATATCTACTTGCATTTTTACATGCTTTCGAACTGCTAGGTTGGCAGGAGCTGGGACAAGCAATGGGAGCTCTGGGACAAGCAAAGGTCTTCTGACCTTGCAGCACAGAGGCTTCTGCAATTTAACCCACAGCGCCACCATGTCCCTGGCATCCAGCAGTTTACCAGTTTATAAACTGGAATTTTTCTCTTGTGTATTGTAAAGGCCTTTGGCCATAAACAATAAAGTTGTTGCATCACATTCTGATCTGATCTGAGAACAACCTGGCCAAATGGGTTTACAGTGAAAACAGCAGATGGTCTGCAGGATCCCCATCGTGAAGCACGATGCTAAATCAGCTGATGGAAAAGGACAATCCTTTTTCAGCAAGGAGGTCTTCAAGTCATCCTCAAACAAACAAAGAAAAAACTGGGCTGCTCTAGAACTGACAACATCATGACGTCACAGAGGTGTTCAGCAGGGACTGCAGACCGGTGCTTTACTCAAATCTTTCTCTGGCTACTTACGGCAGGCCCAGTTTCACCACTTCGCCCACGAGGACCAGGAGGACCGATGGGGCCAGGCATGCCATTACTGCCATCTTTGCCGGAGGGGCCGACAGGTCCAGGGGGACCCTAAGAGAGGATCAAAAAAGGTATGTGTGAGAACCAGGCTGCCCATGAAGGCTGGAGTGAATGCTGCGGGCTTACTGCCTACAATTAAATAAGAAATGTCCGCACAAAAGGTAACAGCATTGTTGAACAAATAGAGCCTACAGAGAATCATCTTCATGTATCATCTGTGTATGGGATAATTATGATTATTACAAATCATACAAAAATAAACCTAAACAAAACCCTCAAGCACTTAAGAATATACATGGGGGTCCCAACAAATTGACCCCTTCAAAGCCAGTCTTGCGAGGATCTCCCCTTTGGCTCCCAACCCCAACTCGACTGCTCTACCCATTTCTACGATGCCCCAGTATGGAAAGCTACTCTCCTGCCTCTTTGCTTCCTCCTTATAAATGTTAGCATGTCTTACGTCTGAACCCAGTGCCAAAATCACAAGCCAGAATCCTATCCGTAGCCCCAACAAAAGTAATACTGGGGAATCAGTGGGATTGACACATTCAATGGGTCTATGCTTGAAGCTAGGAACAGGATTTAGGCTTCAGGGTCAAGACTTCTATGACTAACAATCTCCAAATTCTGCTCATAAATTCTACAACTTGCTAGACATTTGGTGAATGAAAAGCTTGGTCCAACAGAAGGGCATTGTGCTGAAATGATTCCCTGCTCTCTTAACCAAGGTCTTCTCATAATATCTTAGAGACTGAACTTACCCTAGGACCGGATGGGCCAGATGGGCCAGTAGCACCTTGATCGCCAGAAGGACCCTAAGGGAGAAGTGGAGGAAATGCCACACTGTTACAATCCAGCACTTATACTGCTTCTTGCCAAAAGAACGCTCAGAACTAAAGTGTAGGACTAGCTTGGGGGGGTGGGGGGGAGAATGGTTTCAAGGACATATGTTGCCATGTGAGGTTTCTGTCTTTAGCTTTCAGGGAGCCTTTTTCGCATCAACTGATATTTTCACTAGCCACAATGAACCTCTGCAAAATGCTGAGCAGGCCAGAACATGTTCTGGACTGCATGCTCCTTTTATACAGGATGTCGGGCCTCATTCTTGCCATTTGTTGTGAAACTATCCCAGAATCCAACCAGAGGAGCACTGGACCATTGGCCGGACATGGATGTAGTCTAGGTGGGACATAGGGTTTCTACAATGAATGAAAAGTAACTCTCTTCAACTCTCATGTCCTTCCGCAAATGTCCGTGGATCGTTTGTCTGTGATCTTTTGGCATGGATGTAGCAGCAGTGGACATGCAGGGTTTTTTTTCCTCCCAATCTCTTCTTCATCATCATCTTAAAACTGCAGAGGGACTGGACCCTTTGGATCATCAAGTCCAGCCCTGCCAAGGGGGGGGGGACTCAACTCCCAACCAATGGCTCTACAGCCAGAGACCTCAACCACTGAGCTAGCCAGCAATTACCTTGTGGCACCCAATCACCCTAAATAAAACAGAATAACACAATGCAAGCCAACTTATATGCATTTTTCTCTGACAAACTGGTTTGGTTTTTTCCCCCCTATCATGGTTGGACTCCACTGAAAGGTTGAGAAAAACTAGCCTAGAAGCAGACATTGCTGTACTAAAGGAGGTAGAAAGACAACATGGGAACTTTCTGCAAACAGAACATCCTAGGCTTTTTCTGACCCTAGGATGCCCAGAAAGCAAAACTTACAGGAGGCCCAGGAAGACCTTGCAGACCAGTGAATCCTCGGTGACCCTTCAGACCTCGCTCTCCTGCCTCGCCAGCTTCCCCCTTGTCACCACGAGGACCTTGTGGACCCTAGAAGGAAAGAGCCAAGTCCATACTCAGGACAAAAGAATATGTGCAAAGCTTGGCTAACATATGGATGGGGCATCTTGGTGTTTGCATGATTCCACTCTTGTGGTTGTCAGTGCACACAAATACTTAAGAGCTATCTGTATAATGGGACGTGGAATGCCAGTTTAACTCTTCTTGGCCAGCCTCTCTTGACACTGTTGGTTGCTACGTTCTGATGTCACAAAGGGCCTCTGCGTGGCCTGCAAATGACTCAGCTTGCAAGCTGGTCTATGACATCAGAGCACTAGGGACACACATACCTATCTATGATTCATCTGCCCTGATGTCTTGCAGGTCTTGGGACTGAGCACTGATCATTTAAATCAGAGGTGGATTATCTCTATGTAAATACCAACAGATTCTGGCCATTGAAGTATGTAATGCCACTTCTCTCTTTATAAATGAAGGCATTTTTGTGCAAATAGCAGATATTCATATTTTAAAAGCTTGATGTGCCTTAGAGATGATCTCTACTAAATGCAAAGCATTTCCAATGACATACAGCCTCTGTATGAGAAACAACATATGAAAACACACATTTTATCCTCTTTTAAATGTGTTTATGTGATCATGATTAGGAAATGTTGAGGGCTGTATGATAAGAGGAAGACCTTCTGCTGGAAGTAAGTAAGTTGAGGGCCCATCACAAGAAGACAGCTCTATGACAAGCCCCTGGATTTTTATGGCATTAATGGGAGCACTGGAGAAACAGACCCAGACCAAAGAGGAATACTCACCGGCATGCCGCGTGCACCTGCAGGGCCAGGAGGACCCATTGGACCTTGGGCACCCTGGAGAAAGAGAAAATGAAAGGCAAGTGAGAACACCAGCTGCAGTACCCGCCCCTTCCAAGGGGGAGATGAGATAGATAGCCCATGGCTTTCAAAACGGATCAATAGGGTTTAAAGGCATCTAGTAAATGGCCCAAGGCTCTTCTTCTTCTTCTTCTTCTTCTTCACGGCTTAAGCCAAAGCACACCTGCAGCTTTAGGGATATGTTTCTCTAGCCAAAAAATAAAAAATAAAAAATCCTGTGGAGGGAAAAATAGTTAAGTACAATGTCTGTTCTTCTGCCCCAGAGACAGCCACAAGATGTTGTTTGTTTGCCTGTTCTCCCATGAGGGTTGGCATGCAATTGGTTCCTCCCTGGGAGCCCTTGTAGGGCTTGAATATTTCCTCAGGAATAAAATTTGGCTAATCCAAAGGAAGAAACCACATTGAACCCTCTGCAGCCGTTCAAGCCCTCTCCCACAGCATTCCATACAAAACTAGGTTGCTAGAACAGACGCTGTTCCCTCTAGGCTAGCATGCGGTTCTGTCTAACAGCACCCAGCCATGGGCTTCTGGAAGTTCACAAACCGGTCATTATTCAGAGGCATACTGCATTGGACCATGGAGGTTCATTTTAATTTTGAACTTCATGGCCAATAGCAATTGGCAGATCAACTTTGTGCAGCACCATCTCATCTCAAGCCACAAAGTGCTACCATCACATCATCTCAAAGTGACTCCTAGGACTTAACTTGGCCTTCTGTCAAGTCTCTAGTACGGTGGTTCCCTACTATAATGGATGCTCTTGGACTACATCTCCCAGAAATCCAGGCCAGCACAGTGAGTGGCGAAGGCTTCTGGGAGTTTAAGTCCAAGAACATCTGGGGACCCAAGGCGGGGAACCACTGCTCTATTACAAGGAGGGGCATCATGGCCCTCCGGATGCTTCTGGACTGCAACTCCCATTCTCCCTCGCCACTGGCTAATCTAGCTAGGAAAGATAAGAGCCACAGTCCAACTACATCTGGGAGACCCACAGTCAACACCACTGGAGGCATCATAAACTATACACACCCATATAATATATACTAAGTTAGAGCCCACCATAAAATATCGGTACAAATTAATGAGCCGCTCACAGGTACAGAAAAAAATAAATTACACATCCTACACTGAACAAAATGAACTAGAAAGCCATTGTAAAAGATGGTCTCTAATTCTTAGAAGCAGAACGTCATCTGGATATCAGAGAAAACCGTGATATGATGTGGGCAGAAACTAGCTTAAAGAAGGAGAAACGTCAGTGTGGATAAGCCCTGACGCAGCTTCTGCCTCGTTATGCTTTCCAAGAGAGTGGCTGGCAAGCAGCCTGATGGAATGGGATACTGACCGATTCTCCTCTGTCTCCTTGCTTGCCAGTTGGACCAACAGGGCCGGGAGAGCCAGGGGGGCCAGGAGCTCCAGGACTCCCAGCAGGGCCGGTCTCACCACGTTCACCCTGTCAGGGGACAAAAATGGAAAGATTAAGGGACAGGCTGAAGAACAACCACTCGTCCACTCTCCCTCTGCCATCCCCGTCTGGCTGGATGGTGTGAGGGGATAGGAAAGAGAAGCTGGGGTTGAAGGAGCCATTTCCAAAGGCTTTTTGGCAAAGGGGGCCCAGCACACCTTTGGCTGCCCAGCACTGTATAAGTATGAAGAAGAAGAGGGTGGCAAGGGATAAGGGGACGTCAGCCTCTCTCCCAGAAACCTAAGCATGTATACGGCCCCGTTCTGGGTCCTCACAGTGGTCACAATCTGAGAGCAGAACAGCTCGCATAAATGCCAGCAATTTCAAACAGGTGGAATGTTCACTTTCTATTCTGAAAAATGTCACTGCACTGCTTGGATTCCATCGACGCCAGAGAGTGGCAGAAGAGGTGCATGGAATGTCACTGCACTGCTTGGATTCCATCGAGTGGCAGAAGAGGCGCATGAGAAAACGGAGCCAGAAGGGAAGGACTGAGAAAGTGGGCAGGTAGAGCAAGTCACCTAAGAGAGGGCAGGCGTCCTGCCTCCACCTGGCTTCAGGACTAGGAGTGCAGCAGGACAAGGGGGTCACTCGCTAGCAGGCAACAAAGACAGGAAGCCCATTTCAGAAAATCTGGGACCAACAAAACAGTTCATGAGGCGAAGTGGAATGGCCAAGCCCTTGAGGGAACAGCTGTCCAGGGCAAGAGGTAGTGAACACACCTTTGGGATGGAATCTTTGCTTACCTTTGCTCCTGGGGAGCCATCTCTGCCTGGGGGACCATCTGAACCAGGATTGCCCTGAGAATGAGAAAACATAGGCTCCGTTAGTGCTTATGAGTCAAGGAAGTGGCTGAAAATATCTTCTCCTTCAATAATTTTTAATTGCTTTCTCTATGTTGTTTTTAATTCTTGTCCTTTTAAAATGATTTCTGAGTCACCTTGAGCCCCACCGTCAGGAGAAAAATGGCATTCAAGTGCAATCTATCAATCAATCAGCAAATAAGTAATATTTCTGAGCAAGGCCATGGCAACAGCTTAGGAGAGAACTGCACTGCTCACAAATCCCAAACTATTCCTAATTCAACTTCATTGGGTGGCTGCCTCTGTTAGTGCACCACGGGATTCCTCCCATGCCACCCTGCTCCTCTGTGGTAAAATCAGCTTCTCCCCTTGGCCACTCTCTTGGAATATGTATGACAGAGGATGGCCCAAGCCTGTTGTGCTCAATCCTACATTAAACTGCTCCTCTGCAGCTACTGTGGCAGGACCAGCTTTCAGCTAGTGTTGGCTGCCCAAGGAGAGGGGAAGGAAGCCTGGAAGGACAAAAACCAATTTACAAAATTTGTTAGAGAGGCAAACCCCCCTGGACTTCTAAGTTTAGTAATGTAGGAAGAGGGAAGATGGCCTCTCTCAGAGACGAGCTATTAAATTCTAAACTAAAACCTTGATTTTTTCATAGTCATGTGAATTTAATTTAACTGTTTGTGGCTCCATCTTTAAATTCGATGTAGCCACAATAAAAACTTGACAATAAAAAGCCAAGAAATAAACATGTTTAGGATGAGATAGAACAACAGCAGCTGTTAGACAAAAACTCAAGGTTAAAATCCTCCCAAGAAATCGTTGTACTACTAGGCTGCTGTAGCCTCATAAAACATTGCCATCAATTTAATCCGTAGAACAGGAGACTTGGGGGAATATATTGCTGGAAATAATCTTACATTTCCCTTTCCTGATTTAAAATCGCTGTTACATTGACAGAAACTATTCTTGGTTAAGAACATCTTGGGTCACCAAAAGAAAAAAAAAGTTTAACTTCTTCAGAACTTCAGGTGTATATGGATAGGTGGCAGAGACGAGATAACGGCGACACATTTTAACAGAAGATATCCCAATCCTCCCACGCCGTTTTCTACACGTAAAAAAGTGGTTACGCTTACCTCACGTCCAGGATCACCAGAAGGACCGGTCAGACCTGGTGGACCGACAGGACCAGGTGGGCCTCTGTCCCCAGGGCCTCCCGGAGATCCTTGTTTACCAGGCTCACCCTTGGAGAAGAAAAACAAGTCAGCACTGGAGAGAACAGGCAAGTCAGCAGTTCAAGTCAGCAAGAAGAGGGCAAATCTTGTAAGGAGAAGGGCAGGATAGAAGTCGTTTAAACAAATAAACAATAAAATAAATCTGTATAAGTTGATTTCACTCAATTCTTTCCAAAATTGTTGACTTATTGCACTCCATTTCTGCATCAGACTACAATTTTTACAGTTTACATCAAAATCCATATTCATAATTTTTATGTTTTTTGTTCCGACTCTTTCACCTGCAGTTTTCGGATGTGCACATTTTATGTACATTTTTTGACATGCACTTTTCAAAATATACACAATGATCCATTTCAGGTGTACTTTTTAATATACAATTTCTCTTTGTAATCTGGCTCACAATCTTTGGAAAACATGGATTTTGCAGTCTGAATGCATTCTGCTTTGTTCTTAGATTCAGGAAGTGAGAATTTGGCATGGTCATGTTGAAAAGTGAACTGAGCACATTTCTTTCACATCCCTGTAAAGTAGCCATGAAGTCCAATAAGGAGAAAAATTTTGTCCTGCCTTTCTTAAAAGATACACATTTGAATGAAAACTGTTTACATGGCAATGTTCCACCATCGTAATGACTAGAAATCTGATTGCCATTGTTGTCAAGAAAAATAAAACAGAGATGCTTCTCCACATTGGTAATGCTTACAAACATGATGCAGAATTCTGTGAGGTACTATTATATGCCTAGCACTAAAATTCTGTCATATTAGAGGATATACCCTATAGGGAGCTGGTCTTATACTGCTAGATTTGTCTGATAACTCATTTGGCTCCTGCTGTCCAGTGTGATTTGCAGTAGTTCTCCACCATCTCAGCTTTTCCCAGGGGTTGCGACATTCCAGTTCTTCTAATGTGAAATACCCATGACTAAAACTCAGCCTTTTTCCATTCATAAAGTATGAGCTCTGTCATGAACTATGGTGCCCATATAAACTGTAATATCTCCACGCAGGATCACTGAGTTTAGAATCTGAAAGCTGAGGCACATCCACTGTTATCTGGGGAGATCAGACTATTCCAGTATCAATGCTATTTATTACTGGACTTGATTCCGATGTAGAATTAATGAAATAGATTCTTCCTATTTATCTATGCATCCAAACATTCCTTCATGTAATTAGCCTTATTTTGTTTCTTCTTCCTTCCTGGCTTTGCTTGGGGCAGGCCCCTCCACTCTCTCTTGGAAGGTGAAGCATTAAAATGTCCTCTGTCTTTTTCTTGGCCACAACATATTTTCAGAGATGCTCTGAACACCCTTCTCATTTCTCCATTTCAGCAACTGGCTGGTTCAGACATACATAATATATGCCCTGGTCCTCACTTGGAAACAGGAGCACTTCCTTTGTATAAGGGGCTGTCTGGGCCTAGTTCTTCCTGCAAGAACTACAACAATGAGGAACAGGCATAGATATGTTCCTCCCTTTTTTTATAATTTTCAGACAGTGCATAATATTCACACTGGAGAATTTTGAAACAATATTCTCTATATCAGATTCACCAACCTGCCCCCTCCAGAGCTGCTGAACTACAACTCCCATCACCCATAGTCTTTGTAGCCACTGGTTACCAAGCACGTGTGAATAAACCCTGAGGGGAAAACATTAAGACGGTACTCCCTCTAACATCTTCAGTTATACATCTGGGGGCCAGACCTTAATCTCTGCTCCTCTGCCTCTTTTTAATAATGTGGTACCTTAATATGTCAACTCATCCCCAAATGTTTCTATTTTCATACTTGGTAAGCAAAACTATAACCTAAACCGATCAAATTTGCACAAATGCATTAATCTGAGAGATGAATACTACTTGCATATGTAATGCTTCAAAACATGACATTTTTAGATGCAGTATTCACGAAAGCCTTAATATGTGGAATATGGTTAAGCGCACACCTTACAGCTTTTGTAGTTGAGCAAATGTGGAAAAACATATACTCTTATGGTGTTTTAAGCACAAAAGAAAGAAATGAGAAGCCTTCAGCCTGCTGCAAACTTAAGGTTTTAAACTTGGGCAGAAAACACAGGAGACTTTACAAACGCATGTCCAGGCACTGCGGCACCCTTGAATTAGCGGCTTATGCTTATTTCATAACTCCTGAAATCACTTACAGAAGGACCAGGCAGACCAGGGAAGCCTCTCTCACCACGCTGACCAGGAAGACCCACAATCCCTCTTTGGCCTGCCAAACCTTGTGGTCCAGGTGGGCCATCAGCACCCTATGCAGGGGAAGAACAGAAAAGAACAAAACAGTGGAGAGAGGAGTTAATTTGGAAAAGAAATAGTACCAGGTCAGGTCAACTTTATATGTCAAAAGGCATTGTGATTACATACAGGTGGACCATCTTCTCCAGCTTCTCCCTTCTCTCCTGGAGGACCAGCAGGACCCTGCAAACCAGGGTCACCAGCACGACCAACCGGGCCAGCGTCACCGCGAGCACCTTTGGGACCATCTTTTCCAGCAGCACCTGGTGGGCCAGGGGGTCCAGGATTGCCCTAGGAGGGAAACATAATGACTAGATAAATGAAGAGCGAGTGACTTCATTCCACCTGCTTTAAAAAAATAATGCATCCCATTATGGGAAAGAGGAAAATCCAACAAGAATCCCATGGACAACCCTCTGTATAAAATAATAATAGTATTGAGAAGTGCTATGAATCCATCTTGTTACAAAATAGTTGCTAGTGGTTATGGTTATGTTGGAGCTGGCAAAGTAGTCTGGCTACAGTATGAAATGGGACTTATAAAAATAAAGGTTAAAATTCCTTAGTGGATGCTGAATGTTTAAAATTCACCCGAGGATAGAAGTGTTCCATGAGAGGCTATTTTTCCTGCCAAGTCTTGTGTGTGAACTTACATTAGGGCCTGGAGGTCCAACTCGCCCTGCAGCACCAGGGAATCCAGTGGCACCCTGGGGGGAAAAGAAAGGGAAAAAATAATGTAATGAACAGAACACCTGAAAGACTGTTAGGCCAGAAGTAACCAAGGCCTAGAAAGCTGAGAAAACGACCAATCACCCCCTTTGTTTTCAGCCTGTTTCACTGAAGGCATAACAAGACTTCAAGCTTTTACTCAAATTTCTCCCTGATTGGAAAGTACCAGGGAAACCTTTTATTGTTTCTAAAGTACTTGTTGAGATCAAATAAAGGGCAGATTGAATGAGGAAGCAGTCTGATTTCTGCCCTACTTTCACTCAATGTCCTATTAGCACCCAGGGCAAAAACAGGGAGGTAATATATTACTTTGGCTACCAGGGCCATTATAGATTAGACTTGGGAGTGTTGTTGGATGCTGATTTCATCAACAAGCTGCATTCCTAACATAACCATTTTTGGGGGTACTGCTTCTCTTCCAAACCACATGCCGAGAGGAATCTGTTTCTAAAAGCAGTGCTCCCTCAAGTGGCAAAAAAGGGAGTAATTATGAAAAGCACATTAATAGCAGAAGCCCATGTGTCATCAAGATTGCTTCTGGAATGTTAACAATGGTTTCCTTTGTATCTCTGACTCCAGAGTCATGTATAATGAAGCAAGTACATCACTGGCAGGAAAACTGTTGTAAAAGCTGGAAAGGCACAATTTTCTGTGTGTTTCATCCTGCAATAGACTTAAAGTTGTACTGTACATAAGAGCTAGAAAATCCAAGTTTGCCAAAAGCACTAGGCAAGGCTGCCCATAACTGATCAGGAGGAATGTAACAGTTGACAGGCAAAACTTGATAAATTTATGGAAATGCCAATTAAGAAAAAAACTTCCCATTTATGTGGTATCACTTGAAACTGATTTCTTTTCCTTTAGACAATGCAGCTAGGAAACCTTTCTGAAGTTAACAACAAATTGCTGGACTATAATCCTGTTCCCTTAAAGGAAAGCATGTGGTATATTCAGTTATCCCTGTACTATCCACATTAATCAGCAGAGGTTTAAGTGGGGGACACAGAAGGATACCCCCCACAAAGAGTGGGAAAAACACTTTGAGTACACTTGGGCATCCCCCGGACAATGGTGTACAGCTGGCCAATCCTTCTACTTCTAGAAGCATTGCACTGTAAATTTGCTAGATCCTAATATTTTAATTTGTCTTTAATTTTACTTGCATTTTATATATGTCCACAATTTTAAATTGTGCAATGTTCTGATACGAAGAAAGAGATTTAATTTCTGAGGTAAAGATCCTTCCCAGTTATCCTACCTAAAAGCCTTTAAATGAAGATATCATTTGCACAAGCAAATCATGTGCTCCTATTAGTGACCTACAATCCTTCTTTCTGTGCATGGGACACAAAGGCCAGTATCCTCCTGGTGATTTACATGTGCACCACATAAGTAGCATAAGTCACAATGATGAATCGCTGCTAAGGAATGCGGCTCTGCCTGTATTCCTGGACATGTATTCATCAGCACCAATTTGCCACCAAGACTTCCCTGATTTCATATAAAATGTCAGTAGGATTCTGACCAGTACGTAGAGTCATAAGAGCAAAGCATGGAATCTTTTGATTTTTATTCTCCTTTTAAAACCTGAGTTCATACAACTGACACTAAAAGGACCTGTTTTGTTACATAGTCATAAACGGCTACCTGTCCTGGTGCACCCACGTTTTCTCAAACATGCCTTCTCCCTCTCTTAACTACTGACAGATCAAAGACTTCTGCAGAATTACTCCAAAGAGAAAGCAGCTATGAGGAGCTAGGGAGGAGAAAAGACTTTTAAACTCTTTTTAAAACTAAGGGCTCCCATAGATCTCACAAGTCCTCAGTCCACACAAATATCTTGCACAAATCCCCACCTCAGTTTAAGAGATTGAAATAAGTATTATAATAATCATGGAGCCGTTTTAAAGTTTTCAGAGAGGGAGGCAGAGAGCAGCAAGTTGAAACGCCCTGCCACTCCTTTCCTAACAGAAACCAGAGAGGCACAAGGAGACACTGCGGGTTGCTCTCCAAGGTGCTGAACCATGCTGATGGGTGAAACCACCCTTGAAGCAAACTAGTTTTTAGATGTGTGTTACAAATGAGAAGACACACTTAGGAAAGCCACTTGCCCTAATACCAGAGGTGTCTGTAACAGAAAGAGGAAGAGAGAAGATCCAAACCAAGATCTCGAGGAGGTACACCGCCTGCAAGAGAAAAACAAATGATTCAGAAAATACTTACTGGAGGTCCTTGTGCGCCACGAGCTCCCTTTGGACCAGTCACACCAGTTGGGCCCTACAAAAGAAAGGAAAGCAAAAACCAGGTTATACAGACATAAGGCTGATTATTTTCCCTTATCTACTATCAGTGGTTTCTCTCGTGAAGATTTTCAAGAAGCCACCAGCCTTCTCATAGCTCCAGTATTTCCTCTCCTGAGCAATCCTCGTGCTTTCTTTCTCTGTGGACTTCTTGGACACTTACGTAGTGGTGATGGTGATGGTAGCCTGAGCGATCATAAATTTATGAGTGTGTAATACTTAGTAAAGTGAGTAAGTCTTTCCCTTAGAGGTTTTTTTTCAATGGGAATAAACGAAGCCAGAATTGTTTTTAAGGCATTTTGTAACACTGACAAATGCTATGGAAGCATTTTGTTATGCAAGGCATAAAGAGAAGGCAACAGTACTCTAAACCCCCCCCCCCACTGTTTGTACTCCAGTAATTAGTACATGAAAGCATACTGGATGGGGATATCATTGCTAAAAGCCATTGACAGGCCCTCCTACACACAATCTAGAAGTTTGTCTAGTCCAAGGGTTGAGATGGAATGGAGCTCCATAGGATGCCAGCCCACTGCTCTGCTCCCATCCCGTCATCCCTCCACCAATGTAATCATTACGTCAGAGCCCACATTCCAAGCTCTAGGTATAATATCCAGCTCTTTTTTTGTCTCCCCATCCAGCCCCTGATATCTTCCATTCCTGAAGATTCCTGCTGGTCCTCAGCTATCATCCAAGACAAGGGATCATGCGTACTCACCTGTGGACCAGGAGCACCGGATGGACCCTGTGGGCCTGGGGCCCCAGCATCTCCCTTCTGGCCAGATTCACCTTGCTCGCCTTTAGCACCAGGTTGGCCATCAGCACCCTGCATTGGGGAGGAAAGCAAAAGTGTCCAGGATGAGGCAGGCCCCTGCAAATCCTGCCGCACATTAGAAAAGGAAATGCTCAAGGTACCAAACAATACTTACAGGGGGGCCAGCAAATCCAGCAGGGCCTGGAGCACCCGGTTCACCACGGTCACCCTACAACAGAAATGATGGTCATCCACAGCAAAGGGCAGAGAAATAAAGACACTCCACCCAATCTTCTGTATGCCTCTTAATAGCCAGTATCTGTATTCAGTGTCATTTCTGTTCTCTAATTGCCATTGTTTTCTGACTCTCTAACAGATAGCTGTATCTGTAATAAAGCTGGCATCATGCAGCACTATGGTTTCTTTATGGTTAGCATATACATGGATCACTTGTTCCTTTCTGCTTTGTGCCAAGTGCTGCTGCTTGAACACAAATCCTACCAGGATTTCTGTCCACATTTATTCTTGAAATCCCACTTTGTTCCCAAGAAATCAGCATCTCTTTAAGAATTTTAGAAAATCTTTCAGAAACCTCAGGGAAACTCTTTAATGACCCTTTCAGTACTTTTAAAATGTTTGATTTTGATGGTTTCATTTCCGGTGCTTTGTTTTAGCCATTTAGGACTAAAACGAAAGTGTCCAACAGCAGACATGCACCGCGAATAAGCTTCAGACATTAGTTCTCTTCACAATCTCCTCCTTTAAAAATACTGCAGGAAAAATTATCATGCCTGCTGAATGCTTCTGTTTGCTTGCTTTTTAAATAGTGAAGTAGAGCTAAACTGAAAACTTCCAAAGGGAAAAGGTCTTACCACCTGAATTCTGCTAGTAGGACACAGAGGAATAAAACAAAACAAAAAAAAATTCACCTACAAGATATGTTTTCTTTACAAAAGCTTGGGAAAACAGGTTTTTAAGGTCACACTTTGTCACGACTGATATTGATTTTAGCCTTGCATTGTCTGGATGATGGAAAAAATAACAGCATAATAAGTGCCTAGAGAATTAATCTTCTATCCAGATGAACCCCTGGTCAGTAGGACATCATGGACTGGAGTATCTAGGAACACAATGCATTTTTCCAGGGTACCCTGGAGAGACATATAGCCAATGATCATTTCTCCTTCAAGAAATGTGGATGTGACAGCACTACAGTAAATAGTGTATGATGCATCCATAGAGGTGCATTGTTTCTTTTCCTGGTAAATAAAAGTACGGATGAGTCCCCTCCTCTTTTTCTCTAACTTTTAAAAGATTTTGCAGAGTCACTCCAGGAAAGATACAATATTCTGCAGACTGTCATTTGGCTTTCTCTGCTTTCTGGTGAAAAGTTCCACAGCCATACGTTGTTGGGGCATGAAGCAAACTCTCCCCTTTCTGCATTTAGCATAGGAAGACCCAGCCTTTCCAGTACTGAGAACTGCTTTCTCATGCATACTAGGAAAAACTTAGCTGTTAGAGCAGTATGACAATGGAGTCAATTACCTCAAGAGGAGGTGAGTGCTCCAGCCCTCATGGCATTCAAGAGAAAATTGGACAACCATCTGTCAAATCTGCTTTAATTTGGATTCCCAGACTGAGCAGGGTGTGTGTGGACCCAATGGCCTTATAGGTCCTTTCCAACTCTGTTAGTCTATGATTTTATGCCAGTTGGTAATTATAATGGAAGATGAATGTAAAGTCTGGAAACATCACCACCTTTTCTTCTCTTCCCTCCCTCTTTTTTTTTTTTAGTAAAACTCCCAGAATTCCCAACCAGCATGCTCACTGGCTAGCCACTTCTTGGATCTAAACTCCAGAAAAGTAACTTTCCTACATGTTGGTCAAAGATTTCCTGTGCCCATTGGTACAAGCTCATGAATTTTCCTTTAGAGAGAAGGTAACACCAGCTTAAGTCACGCAACATCGGAGCAACACACTTTCTCCCTCAGTGTAAGAACAGTCCTAGGAAAGTCTATGCCTGTTTGATCCCTGGTTATTCACAGGACTCCCATGCATCCTGTAAGGATTTCTCAGAGCCACAGACCTGATACGTCTTCAGAATAATTCAAGGTTTGCAGCAAACTTACGGGAGCACCACGAGCACCAGCAGCACCAGAAGGACCAGGAGGACCAGCTTCACCCTAAAGGGACAGAAGGGAAGGTACGGGGAATCAGCAGGATCTCTAGTTTAATAATTCAGGACTGACCAACATTGACTGAAGTTCAACTCCACATCTCCATTTAGCATCACTCAGTTTTAGTGTGGCTCCACAAAACCGGCAGAATGAATGTGCCAGTGAGACGTTCTGAGTGTCACCAATGCTGCAGAGGAATTGCTTTGGTATCCTTATTGATATGTCGGCTAAAATATTCAAGTCCTACACAGAAATAAAAAGGAACACCATCCCTTCCCTCAGGCTTGCTAGCTTAAAAATTCAGTAGTTGGGATACTGGCCTACGAAGCTCAGAATAGAGATCCAGGGGTGATGTTGAGATAAAATATAATGGAGTAAGACATGCAGCGGTGCTGAATGCCAGATGTGAGATAGATGGTTATCTATCAAAAAGTTCTCAACCTCAGGTTTCTGAACAGGCGCTCCTGATATTATCTTGCTCCTTCCTCAGCAACAGAAGAAAGTAACAGAGGAAGTAAATAAATAAAAAAAATATATTAAAAAAAGAAGAAAGTAACAGATACACGTTTACAAATGTATTTTGGTTTATCCAGTCTAAACGATCATGGCTTTCTCTAGGGAATCCTAAGCACTGCAGCTTGAGAAGGATGTTGTGATTTCCGCTAGAGATCCCTAATTCCCTCCTGTGTGTCTTATACGCCGTCACGTTGCACCTGGTTTATGGTGACCATAATAGAGTTTTCAAAGTATATGAGATATTGATGGAATAATAGGGAATCCTAAGCACTGCAGCTTGAGAAAGATATAGTGATTTCCACTAGAGATCCCTAATTCCCTCCTGTGCGTCTTACACACTGTCACGTTGCACCTGGTTTACATGACCATAATAGAGTTTTCAAAGTACATGAGATATTGATGGAATAGTTTTACCAGTGCCATCACCACCCCACCCAATGGGTGTCCACTGCTCAGCAGGGATCTGAACCCAGGGGCCCTGAGTCCGAAAGTCCATCACTCTGTTCACTACATCACACTAGCTCAGTCACCTCTTACAAAAAAAACCAACAATTTTCAAGGATCCCTACATAAAAGAAGTCATTATTAAACCAATTTTGGCTTGTAACAACTGATACGTGTCCATATTCTTTTCTGACTCAAGATGAGCAATAGACTGTTACCAAAGCAAGAACACTCACAGAATTTGCACCTCATTTAAAGGCCTCAACCTGCCACTCATCCTCTGATTGTGCCACCATACGCGACCCTATTCAGAGGAGCATGCTCTCTTACCTTCTCGCCATTGGCGCCAGCAGGACCAGGGGGACCAATAGGACCAGTCAAACCCTGGTGGAAGGAAAAACAATGGTTAGGAGTCCTGGCGAGTACCAAGTGTCAGCCCCTTGTACAAAAGGCTTCCAATTTGCCAGCAACCCAAAACATGACATCATCATGGTGCTTCTTGATATCCAGTTAATCTTCCCCGTGGATGTCTTTTCTTCCTTTTTGCCCATTCTCTCAAGGCTCTTGAATGGGTCCATATTTTCTAATGTTTCTGGAACTCCACCATGTCCACCTGCTCTAGTAGATGTCAGGTCAGGGAATTCTGGTGTATTATTACTCCCTCCCTCAGCATGAGATCACTAGCCATATATTTATATGGTGGCTACATTTTCTAAAGTATACACTACAGCCCCTCTTTACCACACTACCGTATTCTGGGGAAAAATAATAGTGAGATGAGAAATTTAGCTTTTATGTCCCTTTCCATTAATTAGTTCATTAAAAAGTAGAAATGTTTTGAGACAGCACCGTAAATATAAAGTCTTTTAAAAACTTTTTTTAATGCTATAATTTGCTCCTTCTACATAAATACAAAGTATCTAGATAAGTAAGAGTATTTTCCCTGGGTATGCAGCAACTTTGTGCCCTAAAAGATACTGGGAAGGTTTCTGATTAACTATAGCGCTCCATGTCATCCAAACAGGGAAGTTAGAATTAGCTTCAGAACAAGTTGAGATCCTAAATTAACTTGAATTCATGGTTTAAGATCCTGACTTGCACTAAAGCTGGTCACAACAGTTTCTTGGTATGGACAAAATGAGAAGCCATAGTTAATTATCAATTTCTGCACTGTGTTCAGGTACATCACATCTTTTTTCCTTCTCTTCTTTCTGAAACATTCCTGTATAGTACAGTGTTTTTTAAAAATCTTATAGTAAGCCTTACCACAACTTACTCCCCTCTTCCACAAACACTAACTTCCTTGAGAAGGCTAATTCTGGCTTCTTCCTCTCTCTCTTTTTCTAGGTCTATATTCAGTACATCCTGGAATCTTACAGAGGATGAGGATGCTCCATTAGAACAAGCTTTCTCTTTTCATTTGTTTACCGATAAATTACTATATACACAATGACGCCCCTCATGAGTACAGAAACCATTATTTTTGGATGTACAGTACTTGTTTTGCTTTCAAAATGAGGGTCAAGTTGGTAATGGCACATTTAGCATATTGTCAGAAGGGCATGCTGCTCTCTCAGGCAGAGAGAGGCATCTGTTGCCTTAGCACATAGTTTTCGTCACCTTAAATATCTTACATATAGCATGCTTTTTTTCCCTTTATTGGTTACTGGAAATTAAACATGGGTTTCATTTGTGAGTCTATTGCTGAGGCACATCACTCTGTACAAATTGCAGTATGGGAGGGGAGGGGAAAGAGTTAATAGGAAGGGAATATATATTCTCCATACTATCTGTTTTGACTCTTAGGAACATGTTAGTATGCTGTTAGAGGGAATTATATCTTGTCAGTCAATTATATAGCATAATTATTTTTATCTGATCAATAATTGCCAAACGATTATCAGATGATGTACTTGAAATTTTTTCTTTTTGGAAATATTCTGATGTCTCAACTCAGGCATATGTCTGAAGTGGTCTGAAACGTCTGGCTTATCATTCCTAGGACCAAAAAAGTTTTCTTTACTTTTACTTTAATTAGATTTATACCCCGCCCCTCTAGACCAGGTCTACTTGGGGTGGCTTTCTTTCTTATCAATTTGAGAGTATTTTGAGCTTAAGTCTTTTTGGCTGAACACTCTATTAGAGTTCCCTACAAAATACAGTAAATAAATGAAACAATAAACAAAGAAATAGGCCTTGAGAACGTTTCAGAGGCCCAGCCTTATCTTGCCTTAATCAGAGCTCTTCTACAGAATGGATGGAGAACCTTTGATCTTCCGTATGTCTCAACCTTCATCAGCCCCACCCATGCCCCCCCACAGGCAAGGGATTGTGGGAGTTCTAAACATCTGGAGGGCCAGAGATTCACCACCTGTCCTAAAGATTCAAATCTTCCTGTCTGCCTAAGGAGGACAGCAAAGGAGACAGGCAGGTTGAGAGGACAGACAGACTGATAACATGTCCTCCTGTGGAGATGGATTCTCAACTCTCATCTGTTTTAGCAACGCTTTTACCTAACATTTAAAATATAATGCTTATTAGATTATTTTAAAATATTTGATTTATTTCATCTTTGGCTTTTTTATATTGTGTAAGCTGCTTTGGGTCTCTTTTTTTAGAAGAAAGGAGAAGAAAAATATGTAAGTAAATCTGCTTCTTACATAAGATAGGCAGTTTGCTCCCCTAAAAGAAGGAAGTGTTAAGCCTTGCTATTATAACTTACTCTGCCGCCATCTTTGCCAGGAGCGCCTTCTGGACCCTTCTCACCAATATCACCCTGTTGGAAGACAGCAAAGAAAGGTTGGGGGAAAAAGTAGCCAGTATTGAGTGGAAATTATGAAGAACCCACTTAGTTTATGATAACTACATGAAAAGAACAGAAAGAAAGGGTGCAAGACATTGAATTCCACTCAGCTTTGGCTCGGGGGCACTCAACCCCTGGCCAAATAGCCCTCAGGAATTCCACGTGGAGGCATCACTTACCCTGTCTCCCTTTGGTCCGGGTATACCTGCTGCTCCTCTCTCCCCTGGCATCCCCTGTAGACCAGGAGGGCCCTGAGCTCCAACAGCACCAGGAGGACCAGTGGCACCCTAGCAGATAAGGGGGGGAAATTGCAACATTTAGAATCACAATACTTTCCCTTTGTTGTGGCTCACACTGGTTTTTCAGAACTGGGGATAAACTCCTCTGTGAACACACGGACCCCCGTTATTTCATCAATGGGGAAGCGCTCAGGCCAGTCTACATTTCTCCGAGTCAAACTGTTTTCCAAATCTACACTGGTTTTTCAGAACTGGGGATAAACTTCTCTGTGAACACATGGGCCCCCGTTTTTTCATCAATAGGGAAGCGCTCAGGCCAATCTACATTTCTCTGAGTCAAACTGTTTTCCACATCCCTGGACCACCTCCCCCCCTTTCTTGTATCCTGTAAATACGGCAGGAGCAATTCAGGCTGGCAAACAAATACCTGAAGCTCTGGAAGTCAGGGAAAGTGTGACAACTGTACTTTTAAGTTTTGAATTCAGATTTATAATGAACCCAATTTTCATCAACTGTACTGTCCCCATTTCCTAATGGGAGCAGCATCTGATGAAGTTCTTTTATCAATATTCTCCCAAACGTATCAGCTGATTTCCCCTTTCCTTGGACAGCAGCTAAGCTAAAGTGTCTGGGAGTATTCAGACGTAATAAACTTTTTTCTGCATTCTGCAACCACCAAAGGAGTATGTACAGTGGAGAGGTTGTACTGTAGAACTGGAAGAGATGCCAAAAAAGGATGCAACCTACCTTGGGTCCATCTGTACCAGGAGTGCCAGGAAGCCCACGAGGACCTGCCAAACCTTGGGCACCTGGAGATCCACGTTCACCTGGGAAACCACGTTCACCCTAGAGAAGACAAAGAGGTTTTTACTGCCACTGGAGGAGCATCTCAGGACCAGAAGGGGCACAAGATGCTTCTGAAACTTGTGCTGTTCTAAGAGCTGCCTGGTTACATTACGGAGCTCGATGTTAACGGTGTGCTACTTACCCTGGGACCAACAAGACCAGGAGTACCAGCCTCTCCAGGAACACCCTGAAGGCAAAAAGGGAGTAGTTAAAAGAGGTGAGAGAAGTAAGCTAATCTACAATTCGAAGAAACAGGCTGGCCCAATATCCTTTGCGAGTAGACAGATGAGGCAGTGAGAAACAAAACCCACACATTGCAACAATGCCTATATTTCGTGTTAAGATTTCCCACAGATTGCAACACATCCTCACTTATATTTACAACCTCGAAACACAGAGGTGTGGAAGGCCAATGGGGAAATGATACCCAAATATTCAGGGGAGGTCAGATCCGCTGTGTTTCAGGTCATACGAGGATAGTGTTGAGAGAAGCGAGTCTGTTCTTGACCAGCATATTTTCTGGATACATCCAGTGAATTTTATGAATAAGCAAGTTAGCACATGCATACCAAATGAACAGATAGATACACTTCAAAATAATGTTTATCTATCCTGAAGACGCATTGACTAAAATTTGCCCTACTTGGCAACAGCAGAATTTCTTGACCAATTCTTTCGGTGTAAACACCGCTGCCGGATTTACTTTTCACACCCAGGTATCCATTGAGTGAATATGCGTGACTGTCCAGAGGCTAGCCTCAGCACAAACTGTCAACACCCGACTGAGTCCCTGAAGACTTAACACTCTGCAGAGTACTTATTCAATTCAAATGACTACAGAAGTGATCTTCACTGCTCAACTCATGCTCCTGTATCTATAAAAATGAGTTTCATACATCGAGCATATAAGCCATAGCAGGCCTGTGGCTGAATTCCTAGTGCAAGAGGTACAAGCTACCATATCCCTGAAGCATAAAAATCAAATTAGTGTTCTGCCAAATAGCTCATTTGTACTTTTTGGATTCACAGTGAAATCCCTTTGGGTGCATCTGCACCACATGTTTATATCAGTTCTGAATTAGCTTAACTGTCATGGGATCCCCTGAAGGACAGTTTAGTGGAGCTGCTGAGAATTTATTGTTTATACTTCCTTTCCGCAACAACACACATATACTGCACCTTAAAATTTTCTCAGAAGATAATGTCTATTTAACCAGTTTAGGCTTATGATGTACATATGCCCTTTAAAAGCAAGACTTCAAGTCACATGTGCTTGGTGGCTATAGATTAACAACAATATCAAATATGTTAAAGCCCACTATATTTGCTGGGCTTAGGCACACTTGCCTGTATTTTGGACTGCGCCCCATAACAATACCAGGACATACAAAAGCCAGTCATGTTGCTGCACAGTGGAGCTATGCTATTGTTCTCCTTAGCCAGTATCACATAATTAATTTTTCCTTCCACATTTTAAATCGTCCCTTTGGCTAGCTGCCCTTTTAAGAAGACTTGTGTTCAGTTTAAGATTATTCAGCTATTTCATCTCCCTCTCATGGATTAAAGAGCATTTAGCTAGCATGCTGAGATGTTCCAGAACAAAACGCCTGTGAGTCCCTCAAGCTTTGTTGTAAGGTTATCTCCTTCAGCACAGGAATATCATCTCCTCATTAAGGAGTCATTTTAGAAACACATGACAAATGGAAGGCTACAGTTTAGTGTGGAATATACTTTAAAAGGTAGCTGTACGTTCAGTCCTTTACTCACCTGGTCACCTGGCTTTCCACCTTCACCTGGAGGACCTGGGGGCCCTGGAAGTCCCTGAAATCAAGAAATACTCCCACTGTTAGCAGGGTACAATTGAGTCCTTTAGGGAAACGACATCTTAGAGAAACCAGATGTGTAGGAAGCAGGAAAGGAATCTCTCAGAGCCAAATGGACAGTTCTTATTATCAGACATACAACAGAAGATGAGGGCAAAAATATTTTGTGGGCAAAAATAGGCTTACTGTTGAGACCCTAACTGAGCAGAAATCCTTGAAAGGACCCACCGCCTCCAAGAAGAAACAAAGCTCGGCCCAAAAGAAATCCTTGAAAGGACCTACCGCCTCCAAAAGATAAGGAACAAAGCTCGGCCCAAAAGAAATCCTTGAAAGGACCTACCGCCTCCAAGAGATGAGAAACAAAGCTCAACCCAAACACCCAGCCCCTGCTGAGGAATACACCAACCCAGCAAGCCTGTACTATCCCAACAAATCCACAGCTGGGAAATGTTAACTTTGGTTGGCTTGGGGATTTTAGGAGCCATAATCTGGAGTAGTAATTCTGCTAATCTCTACCCAGACCTCAGTTAAGATGCCGTCAGGGTTTCTTAGAACTGTGCATACTATCTAGCATACAGTCTTTGGTGTGTGCAAGGTAAGGATGGGATGAATAATGTTGTGCTCCTGGTGATTTTCCAAGTCCTGCCTTGCCAAGGCTCCCTATCAAGATGTCTCCCTGCATGAGATAGGCATTCTGGCTTTCTACAAAAGGAAGACTCTGGTCCCATTTTCCCTTCAATTGGTTTTTTCTGACTTTGCTTCCTGCCCTACACATGGCATGGTCAAATTATGTACAACTTCTAAATCTTTTTGCAGTGAGTTCCACACAGGAAAAATGCCAATCTGCACAGGGATTGTAACAATCTGTACAATTTGGTGTTTCTTTGGGCCTTGCCAAGTGAATCCTGCACACAAAAATTGCCTTTTTTGTTGTTATTGCAGGTAGCTTGTCATTTCTTCCAGGGGAAAAAATGACCAACTCAATCCAGCAAAATGCTCTGCAAGATATTTTGGAGGGGAAGAGGAGATCTCCCACAAGGAAATCTCATTGCAGAAGAAAAGTTTCTCTCTGAGAACACGAAGCTGAAAGGTTCAAACCCCTCATCTGAGGAATCTGCTGGAGCCTGGCACCAAAGGAAGCCGAGTATTGGATGAAAAACTTCACTTTCCTAGATCTGTAGTGCTGGACAAAACAAGAGGATGTTGTGGAGCAGGTGGTGATCCCAGAGGATTTGTAGAGGATGGAGGGGTCTCCCTGTTGCCTTTCTCGTTTTTAAGAATTTATGCCCACACATTCAGATGAGGTTGGGAGGTTCTGAGATGCAACTTAGTTGTTCCGCTTACCTGGAATCCGGAAGGTCCTGGTGCGCCCTGCTCACCCCTCTCACCAACTGGCCCCTGAGAAGGCAATAGAAGTGATTCAGTCCCGGCCCAACAGAAAGATGTGGTGTTTACATAGTGGATCAACTCATTGCCAGTAAAATCTCACTTTCAGCCAAAGCCTAACATCATCTCAATTAACTCTCAGGTTTCTTAAGCCTACATATTCCTCTCTTTTACTCTACAATAGACAAGCTATGGCCTTAAAAAGGACCATTTTCCATTTGTGTCTCTATTGGAGAAAGATAGCCCAATCCAACATCTTCACACCTTTCTACACAGGTTCCCAATAAAGAAGCAGTACTACAAAGAAGCATCTCATGTGTGGTTCACACATTATATTAGGCATGCATTTGTGTACACCTAATATAATCAGTTACTTTAAGTACCCCCTTTTTCGGTAGAAAGGCGGAGTATAAATTCACACAGACAAATGAACACATGTTTCGAAACATATACCATGTAGGCAAACAGCAAGAACTGGCTGTAAATCTGTCAGATCTGAAGAGGCCCCCAGTAGGAGCAGCTTCCCTAAACTGAATTTAGGACTGACGCCCTAAAGGAAGCCATAGGGTTGAGTTTGCAAGAGCTGAGCAGGGCAGTTGAGGACAGGAACATTGGGGAGATGGCTCATTCATAGGGCCACTATAAATCAGAGGTGACTAGACAACATGAATCAACAATAAGGATCCGCCCTTGCCATGACAAGATTGGGGCAATGATTGGTCTAAGTAAGGCTGAAGATGGAGGTAAGTTGCTATATCACATCAAACACAAAGTGAAGTCAAAGTTGATGTGGGAGGTAATACCTCCATCCTAAATATATTTACTTGGTAGGGAAGGCCACTGATAAGCTTTCAGCGCAGGACAGAATGCCATACAGAGACTGTGAAGAGTAAGAAATACACACACACAGGTTAGTTTACCTCCACATCCAGTCAAATGATTTTTGCTCTGGCATAAAGCAATGCTTAAGCACTGCAGTCCTCAGCTTCAAAGTTATAAGAATGCCACAACTGTTAAAAAGTGTCTATAAAAAGGTAACGATTAAATCTACCATGTCCTGCCACTAAACATCTCAAAAGGTAAAGAAGGCAGATACAGTAAATCACCACCAATGTATAGAAAAGGTTACTCTGAAATAATCATGCTGGCCATGAATTCTTTCCTCCTTTTTCTCCATAGTCCATTTTGACCAGACATTCAAAATAATAACATTTTCCCCAAACAATTGAACTTAGTGTATTCGCGAAGGCTTTCACGGCCAGGATCTAATGGTTGTTGTGGGTTTTTCAGGCTCTTTGGCCATGTTCAGAAGGTTGTTCTTCCTAACGTTTCGCCAGTCTCTGT